GAATCCATAAAGATTCTGAAACCCACATGCTCTCCATAAGTTTGAACGTAGACCTAAAGAAAATATAATAAAGCTTTATCAATATGAACAAATACTGGGGTGTTCAGGAATTCACGTATGCTTAATTGCAAATGTATTTTGCTGATGACGACTATGTGATAAGCTCAAAGCTCTGGATGCTCATAAGTGGACCTAAAGTTGGGCTGGACTTTCAGACTAGTGTTTCCATTACATATAAGAAAAAAGGATGAACTTAGTCAATAGTGAACCTAAAATTACGAAATGTTGTTTGGACTCAACCTGTTTCAAAACAGAATGTATCTATTACCATGTGATATTAAATGTCTGGCAAATGATACATTTCTGGATGCTCCCAAGTAATGCTTGCATTTTGGCAACAGGACTTCAGAAGTATCACTATTACAGGAACCTGGGTGGACGTCCACAGTGGTATTTTGAGAAGATTGTACCCTTACACACCTGGTTTATAAACTGTTCTTCCTACAGGTGTGTCACGCTCCAGGCTCTCCTGGCCTACTTTACTATATCACAAGCACCTAATTACTATTTGGCCTAAAGGAACTCTCCTATTATTGCTGTACTGCCCTTTAGTAAGGATAGTATTTGAAAGAAAAAAAGAATATTGTCCGTTTGCTAAGAATGATCCTAATCCTACTGTTCATCATATTGCCTATTTCTTCTGTGTTCCGGGTGTTATAGGTGGAGGCACCTTGTTGTCTTTGATAGTGTAGTGGCAGAGGCTTTGTCTCTGTCCAAATCGCTTGGGGATCTCATCCGCGTTACGATCAGGGTCCACAACAGCATAGAGGGCTAGGTCCCTCTCTATCTGAGGGAAGGACTGAGGACAGTGCATGTCGGCCTCCCACACAGAGCCACTGGTCTGGGGACAGTCACAGCCCTCATGGTAGACTTGGCCTGCAGAGGAAAAAAAGAGAGTTTTTAGAGAGATCCTGAAAAATCTTATCCTAAAACATATCTTGTGGGAACTTTGATTGTGTTCTACCTTTGAGAATGAACGGTGACTTGGCCACGTGTTTGTTCTTGAGCAGGACGTTGATGTGAAGGTCCGTGTAGGTGGCATACATTCTGTAGCGGACCAGGAAGGAGCCATCATGACGATCCAGGACCTGGATCCAGATCCTGGTGAACTGCTCCGCTGGAGACTCGATCTTCACTTCAAAGGTCTTCTCACCAGGTGATGTTGTTAAACTGTGGAGGAGGAAACATGAAGAGAGTGTGCTGCTGTTAATGGAGCTGGAAAAATACTAACATGCTGGCACACCAAGTGAAACAAGAGTAACACCACACTAACTAAAGCTGTGATAAACTAAACTACATTTACACACTAAGTTGTATAAATATGACCATCTGAAAATATTTACATTTTCTAAATCTTAGCATAATACATTTTTTCTGATACTAATTTGACAGTTGGTTTAGTTTTACTTTCCCAGGGAACAGGGACAATAGCAATGGCTATTATTTAAAGCGCTCACGTATTTAATTATAAGCCAGAGATGACTTGTAATACCCTGGTTACTTGCCAAAATATGTATGTCTCTAGATAAAGGTGATACATTAAACTCTGAAGGACCAGCATCTGACATTTTAATTGCAGAATATTAGCCTAATTGCTCCGACTGTAGTTCAGAGGAGAGATAAATTCTCCTGACTTCCACAGTAAAGTTGACTTTAACCTACATGATTTGTTTTACCACTACTGAAATTAAAAATGCAATAACAATTATAATCATGGTAATATTGTGTGTACTTTAACCTCATAGCCATAGTTTGATTTCCTATGTGCCAAAGCAATTACAATTTTATATATTTATACTTTATGACTGTATTGCAATTCAGGGTTCATACACTTTTTCACCAATGATTTTCAATGACTCTTCCATGACCTTTACCTAAGTTTCCATGACCAAAAAAATTACTCTTTCTCAGCGGTACCACTGAAAATAGTTTATTTTAACATGGAACAGGAAAATAAGGTCTGCATATGAAACATATTGTGCCTATCTAAAACAAATCCAATAGTAGGCTTACTAGCTTCTACACGCTAAAGCAACTAAAATCTCTCACCAGCAAAACACCTCGTCAGTTAAATGCCATTTTATGTTTAATTACTATACGATACAGTATTTATTATCATTATAGTATTACTATTTCGGCGATTAGCTAAAAAATAAATTATATTTGATGCAACTTTAGTTACATTTCCATGACTTTTCCAAAACTTTGGGAAAAATATTGTTTTCCATGACTTTTCCAGGGCCTGAAATTAGCATTTTGAATTTCCATGACTATTCCAGGTTTTTAATGACCGTAAGAACCCTGGCAATTACATTTTAAAAGTTGTGCATTGAAAGACATACAGTCTGTTCATGCTGATATCATTCTGTATTATTATATTATATTATCTTTTGTTGTGTACCAAAAGCCAACAACAATATAGTCCTATGTTGCATTCATGAATGTAAGTGATAAACCATCTTGTGAGAATGTGACACCCACTGAGTATGGTAACGCCCCAGAGTGGGATACCTTCATTGGGCCCATGGGTGCTCTTTTACAAAAGGGGTTATTGGAGGTTGTATGACTCTTTCTCCCTGAGGTGAAGACTGGCTGCTCTCAATCTTGACTAGTTTAAAATGTCAGCATTGCTCAAAGGAGACACTGCAGTTTAGGAGGTTATGGTAAAGATGTGTACTGTAGGACCTCTCAAACAGAACAATACTAACCCTAACTTAAGACCATTATGTGTTCCTAGAAATTATATTCAAACAATAGGGGTTGTCATATTTGACTACATTTATTCCTGGATGGGAAAAATCAACATCTGGGCATTCAAGCTCAACAAGATAATTAATAATGTATGAGTAATTTAAGACCCTCTAAGAAATAAGGTAATTATTTTAAAAACAAACATAGAAAAGTCTAAACATTGTTGGGGTCTGCATCTTTTTTTAATTGCAGAGTTGTTTAGCAATGATAAAGATGTTACTTTTTGTCACACACTTGTAATAATACAAATAGACAAAATGGCTCTTAGGAAAACCACTTGTTACACATACAAAAAAAAACAAGCTCCCAAAAGTTTTTTCTGCCCCATCATGCCACCATAGAAACTCCAAAGTATGATGCTACGTGGAGCATATGAAAGCACCATTGCTAGCCATTACAATTTAACAGATAGTTGCTCATGGAAACACGTCCAGAAGTGATTAGCAGGCCTGACGTTACTCACTTTGTGCCCGAGCCGTCCACTGCCTGAATGAAGAAGAACCGCGCCGGGAGGACGACGTCCGTGTCGAGCCCGGGTCCCCACACTAAAGTTTGGGCTGCACTGAGCACCGAGTCTGCCTGAGCCCCGAGGAGGACTTCATGTCTGAAGATATCCAGACAGAAAAGCAGCAGCAAACACGAAAATATCCGCAGAGACATACCTGTTCAGAGCCCACTGTCCTCTAACGTTAGCCGTTACTTTTCTCCACACAAATGTTCATTGCCCAGAAGTGCCATTGTTAAAAATGCCGTAACATGAAGAAAATGCATATACTGTATAGTCTGCAAGGCTAGCTTACGTTTTAATTTTGCGTTTCCATTAGTAACAACAAAGGCTCAACGGTGGCATTGCTAAAGGGTTATACTTGGCTAACACTTGTGCATTATTGTGTTATTTGAATATGTTTTAGTGATAAGACAACGTTAACGCTAGCTAACTTCAAAATTCCTGCACAGTTTTGTGAACTATCTGCTGCTCAATGAAAAGGGGGTGGGATTAGCATGTAGGATACAGCAGTCTCATTGGCCGCCACTTCATCATATTTGGATCTGATTGGCTGAATGTGCAAAAGACTCTTGGTCTGATTCTGATTGCACAGAAATCCGGAAGTTGAAGCCCTTGCTGCTACATGTTGGGCGTGATGGGCGTGATGCTGTGTGTGAGAATGGGATGGGATGGGATTGAGAATGTGGCTATTTTTCATAGGTTTATTCCATAGACTTTACAATTTACATATAAAGGTTTATTCACTGGCTATTGTTTCTGGCTAAATCAATGGATGAATGGAAATGTATGAAGTGATGTGCTCACACATTTTTTCTTAAACCGCCAGATTCTCACTGAATTACAACATTTTTAATGGTAGAAGTATTCATATAAAATGTAATTCATTTAAAGTAGCAAATTAGCAATGCAATAATTTAAATGTAGTAAGTACTCAATGTACAGTAGAAAAATGCCACCTTTAATAGTTATGTATAAAATCTTATATTTGTTTTTGTTATTGCCGATATTTGATCATGATATGATTGTTGCGTCATTTTAATTAGCACGAGAATCTTAATTTTCTTTAACTAGTTACAATAGCTGTCAAATAATGTAATATATTTTAGAAAAAGGTACAATATTTTCCTCAGAATTCTAGTGAATTAAAATAAGATAGTAGCATTCAATTCAATTTAATCTGAAGTAAAATACTTGAGTAAATGAGTTGCTCTTTTACTACGCAGTGGCATGAGTGGATGCATATAGAAATGTAATGGATATAACCTGCTTAAGATTTGTCAGTCCACAATTCAAATCTGTGTTGGATGCATAACACATTTTGACAATTGCTATAGGTTATTAAATAGGCAGCTACTGTACAACAGATGTCCTATCATGTTAATGAAACGTTTTAGATTTTTTGTGAGATAATTTGCTCACTATTGTATGCTTCTTATAGTCAACAAGCATCAACATTACACTGACAGTAAAATAAACCTTTATTAAAAAAAAAAAAAACAATAATAATAGTACCACGTTCAAGCTAGCATCCTTGATATGAGGATGTGAAGATCCTTTGTAATTCATAACGTCGTACTTTGTGCAAGTCAGAAAACACAGAGCTCTCAACTGTGTACATCAATCAATGTTTATTTCAGTTTGCTTTTGCATCAACATATTTTCAGTTCTTTTTTGTCAAGTAATTTCTATTACACTAGTATAATATCAATAAGAACAAAAAGTGGTAGAATCCATTTAAATAAGACAAACTTTGCTGCCATCATTGAGAAAAACAGAGAAATGCTTTTCCAGGACACTACAGTGTTAGGAACTACAGAGTCCCAGTGATTTAGACAGAGCCAGAATACCAGAATACAGTACCAGCAGTAACAGGTACAACATATACAGAGAAAAATATCCCGAGAATGTCTTTATCTTTTATCATTTTTTGTTTCACCTTCCTCCCAAGATTGAACTGTACAGGTAATATAAAAACCAAAAACATACAAACCGAAAACATACTAACAAAACACCCTGTCAGTAGAAGTCAGAATTTTTTTTGTTATTATTTCCTTTTGTTTTAGTTTTTTTGCGATTTTATTTCTCTGCCATTGAAAGAACTGCACTGAACACAAATCTCATTAACGGTACAGAGATAGGAGAGTCATTTATTTTTTCTTACATGTTTAAGACACCTCATTCAATCAAATCATGTGTAATTTCGAAAATCTGCATGGCACTGCTTTAGGGATTTCAGGTCGGGTGTGGTGGAAGAGAAAATGGGTTTGAAGGCAATTTAAACTGAAGAAATGCCTCAGCAGAAATGACTAGCAATGCAGATAGATTAAGGTATTATTTTCTCAGGTTTTGAGCGTATGTGTCGCTGTGCATATTTCATGTGGGAGTGACGTCAACATGGTCAAGGCGCAACGCTTTCTAAGTGTTAATGCTCGTGTTCATAAAGGCCTGATGTGTGAGAAATAGATATCAATAATCCTCTGTTTGGTTTTTCAGATCAATTCAAGATACAGACATATACACAAGTACAAAATATCCTCCTCAGTTAATGCTGTTTGCCCATGTCATGTGGCTACCCATTGACATGTACAACACAATCACAATATGATACACAACCATGTATCATGAAACATTTGTTGTTTTTAACATACAAGAGCCTTCAGTTGAGAGGCCATCACTATCAAATATAGGACTGCGACGAGAGGATATCATAGTCATCAAGAACAATATTGAACGGAAATAAGAACATATTTGCCTTCGGTTGAAATCGCCGCAAATGTTTTACACATGTACATAGTTTCTTCACTGACTCACATCTGAACATCACTGAAAAAGAAATACTGTTACTTCTCCTGAATCTTTTACTGATTAACGACTCGCAAGGGAGTTGGTAGCAATTAAGCGTGTGTGATTCCAACTCCTCTTCCGTCACAAAGACACTGACAATCATTGACATTATTGTTTGTGATCATGAGAGGAGCTCAGGTAAAAACGCATAAACCACAACTTCTAAAAGACAGAGGGATAGAGAAATGGGAGGGTGTCATTCATGTTTATGGCACCCTTTCTCTGTCTCTCTCTCACACACACACACAAACACACACACCTAATGGCTCACTTAACTCATACGTCTGACAAAGGCAGCTAAAGACTGAAATGGTGAACCAGCAAAACCCCAAAAATAAAAAACACCCTCATTTCTTTTCATAAAGATAACTGTGAGTCTGATAAATGCCCTCCAAGTCCAACTCAATGTCTCGTCTGTTCTGATCAAACAGGAAACATGATGACTTTCACATGTTAGCTCTTTGTTAGTAAGTTTTCCGTGAGTGGATCCACTCATCTTGTTTTTTTATGGCACGTGAATAGTATATAGGTTCATACTATAGCCATAAACACACTGTGTCCAGGATACGCTTTTAGCCTCTCTCACAACAACCTGCTCTCTGTTTCCGTACAACTGTAGTTGGGTATGTGAGATATTACTCATCATTTAATCATTTTGTTAAGTAGCAGCCGAAAAAGTGATATTAGCGTGGTTACACTGTGCGGAGGTAAGTGTAAATACAACGGATTTGTGTTTGCCCTGTGCAGCCCAGAGTAAGAACAGAGCATTATTCTAAGTGTGTGTATAGAAAGCGTACTATGTGCATCTATATTGTGGCATTACATATTGGCTGAGACTAAGAAAAAATAATGAAAACAAACCAAAATTAAAGGGAAAGGAACACAAGTTTTGGCTTAATAGCAATGCAGGTATACATTTCCCTTTTTATATATAGTTTTCTGTCAATATTTCAAAAAATATAAAGTTTTTTATAGGTTCTGTTGTTGGCTTATATCATTAAATAAAACTTTTTTGTATTTGTGTATCTCCTGTTAAAGTAGCATGCTGCTTTATTATATGGCAGTTGGATATTTTTAATAGTCATCCATTTTGTTTCATGCATTTCATGTTGGTTTCTTATCTTGAGTATCTACACAGTGAGGTCCAGAAAACCCAACCACACAGACACAGACATACACACACACACCCACACACCCACACACACACACCCGCACACACGCACACACACACACGCACAGACAGACTTGTCGGATTATTCCAGTTCCATCTTCAGATCTTCAAACATCGCCATTCCTTTCTGTCCTCATCACTACATGTCTAGACAAGGAACCAACACGTCCCCGTCCTTCAACAATGTGACAGTGCCGCAGCCAGTCCAGAAGCCGTAAAGACAAAGTCACTCCTGAGTCTCTCTTTTAATTGCTCTCATTTGTAGAGTGAAAGTCTCTGTACCGGCGTTAAGCTCCCAGCAGTCCGAGCGCAGCCTCAGACCTCCTCCCTGTTTTTAGAATTGGTACCACTTCTTGTCCTTGCACTTTAGCATCAGCTGTAGAAAGGCAAAGACACAAACAGTCAGTAACTGCATTATGTTCATTTGGAAAACACTACTGTTTTGCTTTTCTTTTAAGCTTTTGTATATAGCATTTTAAATATCAGTATCTATATGTAGAATTCAAAATAAATAAATGTTGGAGCCACCAGGAGCTGTTCTTTACAAATAAGATTGAATAAAATAGGATTCATTGGCACATTACTGTAAATTGTTATGAAAAGTGGGTGTGAAAACAGTTTTAGAAATGTAATGAATGATGTATTTATTCTACAATTTCAAATCAACTGAAACAATTGTATACATATTAAATAAAAAATGTCTTCTGCAATACAAAAAACAAACGGTGCATTTTTTCCTGTAACCATATTCTCAATTACATTTAATTTCAGTTTACAACGTCTTTCCAACATTAATTTATGAAATATTGAAAGATTGAAAATAAATAATCTTCCTGGTTATATTTGGTTTTGTGCAACATGAATCTTGCTTTCACCTCATGAGCGTGTTTGGAGAAGACGTCTGCGCTGGTCATCATGAGGGCGGTGCGGTCCTCCAGCTCCCCCAGCCGCTGGCCTCTCTCGTCCAGAGCGATGCGCGCCCGGGCCAGGTCCCCCACCACCCCGCTCGCTGCCACCTTCATGCCCTCCATGCCCGCCTGCCCGGGGATGTGCTGGGCCAGGCTGCGAGAAGCCTTCCCAGCTGATGCCTCGCCAACTGTCAACAACATCAGGCGAAAGAAAGGTGACGGGAGGCATATAAATAAAGATCCTCTGGGTAGTGCTTATATGGTGGAGTCAGATGGTTCTTTTTCGATGTATTAGTTACATGAGACATTGTTTTAAGTGGATTAGTACACACATGAAACAAGAGAGTAAAGAGAAAAAACGCACAGAGCTCTTCTCTGTCGAAGTTATGAGAGTTTCCTCCGAAGAAGCCCTTTAGGAAGCCTCTGTTCTGGGCCTCTGGTGTTTCTATCGGTGTAAACAGCTCCCCCAGCATCTCCTGAAATAAATGGGGAAAACAATTAACAACATGTATTGCTTTTTTTTTCATCATATATTTATCATACTCGTAGGGTCCTATTTGTATTCCTTTTCTCTTCCCTTTCTCAACTTCTTGACACATTTTCAGTAACGGTTGTTGCCTTTAGGTGGCACTATGGCAGCATCATGTGAGCTCCACTGAGCCTGTTATCATTAGTCACACACACTGTAACACTATATCCACACAATCAACCCAGTGGAGTTCAAACCCCACATGACAAGTGTGACATTTCACTTCAATGGCCTCTGTCAGCTCGCCGAGGGTGGGAATAATGAGAACCTGATTATTTACTGCTGCTCCGATACATTTCTATGTTCAGAACCCAAATGTGATATCAAAAAGCGAAATTGAGAGATGATGCATGTCACAGATAAAGGGATAAGCACACTTGTAGATAAAAAAGCAAGATAAGAGTGACAGATAGATAGCACACTGCAGTGCTAACCTGCAGGTTGTCACACATCTCCTGGCTGTATGTAATTCTCTGGATCTCTGTGGGGGAGCTGAGGTATAGAGCCTGCCCCCCGTTGGTGAAGCAAAAGGTTCTTGCGATGCGCATATCAGTCAGAGGCAGGTAATTGACATCCATCAGCGGTCTTAGGCTGGGCAAACTGCAGAAGAATAATAGACAGATTCAGGACGAGGAACACATTGTAACTACTCCACTGCGTAAACCACAAAAAAAGGAAATCCTTATTAAGTAATCTCATATCTGCATTGTATATATATCTTTAAAAGCTATTTTTAATCTTGAAATGTACCTATTACTACTATAAGTAAATCTCCTTTAGAAAACAAAAACAAAAATCTCTAAATCCGAACATACAATCAAGATATTTCTGTATTAACATGACGGTCAAATATTTTCTGCATTAAAAACATTATTTCCAGAGTTGTGTTTAAATTAAATACTCATAATTTAATTACAATATGAACAGTTTACCCGTGATAAGGAAGCATGTTATTAAATGCATCATCAGTGCAGGCACTCTCAACCCAAACGGTCAACATAGCAGGCAAAATCACTTTAATTAATTGTCTAAGCTAAAGTGGTGTTATCAAAGTTATTGTATGATTCATTTTTTAGCTCTGATTCAAGCCAACGTTATAGTGGCAGAAAAAATACATAAATAACAAGTAAGCCGTGTTCCTTTCAGGTACATTGTAGGTAATTAGACGGTTTACCTGAGAGTCATGATGTGCCCGTTGGCACAGAAGCAGGCCAGGCACACACTGTTGCTCACAGAGACCACGTCGGCGCGCAGCACGAAGGACGACTCGGTGATGTTGTGGACGAAGAGGACGGACTGCGAGGGCATCAGGATGACTTTGGCCTGCCTCTCGGAGCACACCACAGCCAGATGTCCCTCTCCGCAGGAGTCCTGGGAGGACGACGGCGAGAAGTGGACCAGCTTGCGCTTCCGCACGCGGTCAGGGTCCTCGGGCCCGTTGAGGTCCCGCCAAACCTCGTAGGGGCTCTGAATGAGCGATCCCATGCAGTCCAAGAAGCCAAATCGTAAAACTGAGCCCTTCAGCATCAGCACCGTGCCTTTGGGTAGAGTCAACAGAGGGAAGGCATGAAGTAAAATATACCAGTTTCAAATATCAGGCACAGTACCGTAAGCCGAGATGGTCCCAAAGGCTAAGAAATGAAGTTAAATACAACATTTACTGCAGAACAAACAATACACAGGAAGGGGTTCAACAATACCTGACTTTCTATTCACCTCTATTTCCTTGAAACTGAGTGTGTGACCTTCAAGTTATAAACTTTGTTCTTGCACGCTCAGTCTCAAGAGAAGGGCTGCTCCTTCAAAGAGCCTGGATTTTAAGGTCTATTGATGTTTTAACTGCGATTACAAAGAGAGACCTTTTCCCTCACACAGCAGGGTTTCTGGAGTGCTAACGCATGTTCGAGTGGCTCACTTTTCTCTATTCAGATTGCTTACTCAATGGGGCTGCAAAATGTATCCATGCAAGACCACGCATGAACAATGTCTGACAAAGTTCTCCATGACAACACTTTTTATCTTATTACAATAATTATGTTTTTTAGAAGCCTTTGATATAACTAAATCAGGTTATATTAGATGCTGCTCACACAGCTTCACAAAGTGCACTTAACTCCTGGGGAAATTACCTGCTCTTATTTTCAAAGCCTTGCATTGCATCACCACTTCTCAAATGTCCGAGTGGGTGTTTTGTGTCAAACGCACAAATGGAGTTGAGATGAAAGGTAATGTTCCTGTACAGTGTAGTACAGTGTAGTGCGTTTTAAAAGTGAGTGTTTCCTAGCATTGTTTGTGAAATTGCTAGTTCACATCATAGTAATATGACTTTCAAAAGTACTACACTTGCAGCAGGCAACGGATTTCAGATCAAATGAGCTTGGATAAACGCATTGCTGTTCAGCAGGGAACGGAAGACAGAAGCTGTTAGCAACTAGCTGCTGAACAAAGTGGAGATTTACGCAGCTAAAGAGACTAATATCTTCCTCAGGAGCTGGCTGAGACTAAAATAGGACAGATACAACAATATGTCCACACTGTGTTTCAAAAAATAAATAAAGTAACTATGAATGCAAGGCTTAAGTTCGATGGTATATTTATTGTTTACAAAGTACCTAAAAATGAGCCAAACAAAAACTTTGGACATTTTGTGCCAGTTAAATTGATCATTATTTTGACTTTTGCCAGCAGTTACGATAAGCTCCATTATAATCCCTAACACACTTTGCAACAGGGAAATGTAGAACATAAAGCACAGTTTTATTATTCTATTTTTATCAGGCAAATTCAAGCATTGAAAATCTCCATTAGACTTCTTGTCCGTCATGTGGAGCTTCAAACCAATCATCACAGCTTCAAACCCACAGGAAGTATGTTTAATTAAAAAGGCCCTGAATTGATTTGCTGTGATGCTCGTCATGGGAGTACATAGTGACTCCGTGAAACTGCTGAAGCATTGTCCTCCTGGACGCATAACCTACTACAACAGGTATCCCTGTTGTTGCATGAAATAGTGTGACTAAGAGCCTGTACAGGTAAAAACACCCTTTTGATGAAATCTCGTCTCACTGGGACTTACCGCTGGGGCCCATGGTCACTGGTACCTCCATCCTCTCCTCGTGGTCTGTGGGAATGGACATTGGGATGACCAGGGCCACGCCTAAGCTGGTGCCCACCCACAGACACGGGTTGGGCAGGGCGTCATTCTTGCGCCCGTAGGACTCTCCAAACTGCAGCGTGGTGATCGCCTCTTTGGTGTCCCGGTCGATGCTCGACACGCTGGAACTGCGTGAGCGGCTGAAGGAGTTTTCACGACTCTCTGTAGCGGCAGCGGACAAACACAGAGGCACGGCACAGGTGGACAAGATGCAGAAAGAGGAGGAGAGGGTCGTAAGGGCAAGAGGAAGGGGGAACGAGAGAGGAAACAGGAGAGAGAAAGGTAGATTTATGGAAGGGAACAGCAATGTGGGGGGAAAAGAAGAAAGAATGCAGGTATGAGAGGACAAGCCGTTAAAAGAAAAACATAGTAAGGAGGAGTAATAACAAGCGTGGAAGACAGATATTCTGAAGGTCACATGGTTTATCTGCAAATTGTATCAAATGTGAAACACTGGAACACATAGGAAAAGGCCACTGAAACAATTTCATACACTGATAAGCAAAATGATTTTCATTACAAAGAGACCACTCGACAGAAACATTTCCACACCAAATCCTGCACACACACACACACACACACACACACACACACACACACACACACACACACACACACACACACACACACACACACACACACACACACACACACACACACACACACACACACACACACACACACACACACACACACACACACACACAGATTACTGCACACACATACAACACTTTCAAAGAGTCCTTTAACTCTGTTAGAGTGCTACCCATTCAGGTCCTCTATTGTGTACTTAAAGCCTCCATCATAAAAGTATTTCTGTTTTGCTGCATTTCTGAATTATTCAGAGCCAGGCAATGTGCAGTACTGCATGCCCAGCCTAATGTTACACAGAGTGCAGACTTTATGTAAGGACAAACTACAGATGGGTGCAAAGCCCGGCGAGCACACGTCAGGCAAAAAGGAAACCAGATGTGACGGATGTTCGATGTATGCTTTTCTCAGGAGCATTTGCACAGGCTTAAAAAAGACATCCACTTTTTATTGGGGGGAGCGTACTCCATCTGTCTGCAAATCATACACTTAACACTGCTGTATAAGATGGATTTACACCCCTGCTACTTTCTGGTACAAGAACAAGCACTTTAGACGGAAAAGGGCCACAGGACGGACTGACATACTGACGGACGGACGGACTGACGTGGAATCATTAGCAGGACAGCAGTTGATGGTTTTTGGGCCGAAGCCCCCTTACCTTTGTCAGTCCAGCTGTAGGGGGGGGTGCTGTGATGCTCGTCATGGGAGTACATAGTGACTCCGTGAAACTGCTGAAGCATTGCCCTCCTGGACGCATAACCTACTAGTACCCCACAACATGAACCCCCATATATAACAGACCACACCCCGCCATGCCCGAAAACACACAACCCCACACACACACACACACACACAAACAAGTACAGCCGCCCAGCCAAAAACAGACAAGACGGACATATGAACAGCAGAACCAGAGAATGACAGAAGGAGAAAGAGAGAAAGAGAAGCAACTGAGTGGGGAGAGATTGCTTCAAATATATTCAGAGACAGAAAAAGAGAGTGAGACTGAAAAAGTGTCCGCTCATCTATAATTCTCGTGGCCACACAACCTCTACGTGCTTATCCATCTTCTATTCAAACCCTTTTCAAGCACCATCTGCTCAGATAAACACTGCTGGCAGGAGTCCATGTTGTGAAAACTCTGATAAAGCATCCTTTAGTCCAGTGTGGTCGTTGAGGAGCTACAGTAATGTGCAGCACTGTTGCACAACATCATTTTCATACTGCTTTCTTTGACACTGCTGTTGAGATGATCCAAGTTTAACTCTCTGTAAAACCAAATATGTAACAAATTAAATCCGGCTCAAAACGTACTTCAAAGGACATCGTTAAAAAATGGAAATTCAGTTTTTTTCTTGTTTACCACAGTATGAGAGCAGTATTACTATCAACACACTGTATTAAGACATGTTTAAGTCTGGTGTCGTGACAACACTGCTGGACAATGCCGCGGGCAGGAAGGAAAGAGAAAATAGCCTTTTTGCTGTAAGTCTAGGCAGCAGCAGCTCGGTTTTGACGTGTGTCGCTGGGGTGTGTTTACACTGTGTGAGCGACCCTTTGGGGGGCTGGCTAATGAAAGTCAGGCACGGTGGTTCTCTGACAGGACACAGGGACCCTTGGAGGGGCCCTGACAGGGAGCTAGAAGCAGGCGAGGCAGTGTCAGGGAGGTGATAACGGACGGCATACAATCTGAAGAGGTGCCAGATTTATACAGCGGTACACGCACATACACCCACAGTGTAGAGACAAGGACAGACACCTGGAGACTTCACAGCGGTTTTTTTCTATCTACCACCAAAGAATGGGTACATGACTGTGCCAGGTGATGCTTCAATGCCAAGACACATAGATATATTTACTGTGCCAGATACATTTTCTAGGATTTAATTGTGTGGTTTATAGGGAATTTAAGAGATCTTTAATCCACAAAATGTAACAGTTCTACGATTATGATAAGGTAGTTAATTGCATATATCCGTCAGGGACATTTTTTTTATCATTAAATCTTTAGAAAACTGAGGTTCTCCGCAGTTTTTTTCATGCAGTCAAACATTATTCTATGTGTGTGTGAGAGTGGACCCGAGTGCCTTTAGAAAAAGCCTCAGCTATGTGCAGTAAAAACACATTTCATTTATTGTAATATGATGTGAATCTGGAAAATTGCGGGTTATACTTCATTTAAGGCTTACACTGTGAGGAAATATCAATTCCGCTCTCTCACTAGGTAAAAAGAAAAAAAAACACGCTCTCTATTTCATGGATTTTTATATTCTTAAACAACCACTCCCGGTTTTTATAACCAAATTCGCAGGGAATGCTAACAGTATCATACAGTCTGTCTTCAATATTTAATAGGTGTGCTGCCTCACCAAGATGGAAGTATTTACTGTACATTGAGTCTGGCTTCCCATGCCATTTCCCTCCTCTGTCTCCTCGCCTGGCCTCATTAACATCGGCCTCATCTCTCGCAACGCTTGCTGACCTTTAATTATTCCAGTGATCCTGCTGGCTCTTCACTGTGGTAACCCAGTGAAAGTGATAAACAACAGTGCCAAGGGTAGGACACAGATAGAAAATATCCAACGGTCTGCTGAGAAAAGCGACTGTTCACGCATAATAAACCCAAATTGCGGTCTGGGTTGGGACTAAGGATGTTGTCAGTTTTGCCATTTGATTCGTACTTGTATCACATGCAGCTCTTATTGCTTACACATCTGATTCATGGCATGTCATTTGACTGCATCATACATTCTAAAGTGATGGATGCGGTGGATCCTACAAACTATAGGAATTCTTCTAAAGCAGATTCAAAAGCTGTAGAGTGCTTAAATGAAAACACAGCAACACATTTAAATATTGATATATAGTTCTGGATATTCCATTATATAAGAGGCGGATGTTTCTATCGATTGATACAGTATAAATGTGTCAATGAATCTGAAACACATACAGTCTGCAGGTAATGTGTTACGCTGGCCAAGGGAAGAAAAACTGTATTATTATTCATTATTGTTCTAGAGCCCTGCGAGTGGTGCCTGGTTGGAAGAATATCCATTATACTCACAGTATGTGTTGGAAGCAGGAATGTGCTCAGAAAACTTCACAGCAAGTTGCTTTCTAAATTATGCAATATCATGCGTGCCGGGTTGATATTTTGGTCAGAAGATAGTGTGTCCAGTGGGAAAGGTTTAACCCAATGCCATCCACAGGGGTTATTAGAACGATTATTACAATGAATCAGCTATTTCTTTGGAACACAGGAGGATTTTGTAGGGTCAAATTAAATATAATGCTGCATTTGGTGTATAGAAAATAAAACGACCAAAAACATTTGGGCTTGAGATGACTGCCAATTGATTTAGGCCAGAGTTTTTCAGCACTATAAGAGGAGGAGACTGTGGAGGTTAACCCTTAAACACACAACTACATGATGCTTTAGTGTCAGACAGGAGCTGCAGAACTTTTTCTAATAGAGTTCCTTTTAACTCAGCTAGCTTAGCAACACACAGTGCTGAGTGAAACATTGATTTGAAATACAATACACTATGTTGCAATAACCTGATGTATCTTAGGAACATGGCAATACTAACTGACCAGAACCAATACTACTAAACGCACGATTGAAAAAACAGGCTATTTTACAATTAAGTACTCCATTAGTAAGTACGTTTAATGGCCTATCAGGTACATCAATCCCTGTCTACCTGTGTGAGATTCTCTATTTTGCTACTTCAAATATTAAGATGCTATGCTGCAAAATCCGATCTAAGTTTCATGTTAAATTACCTAAAAAGTCAGTTTAATAAATGTGTTTTAAGAGGTTTTAGAGCATTTAATCAACTGTGAAAAAAATAATTCTACTATTGTCTGCATTTATTTGCTTGGTAGAGCAGTTGCAGCCCAGGCGGTGTGCTTTAATAAAACATTCAGCTTGTGCTAATGAAAAACTACTTCCCTCTCGGCGCCAGGTCAGTGTTGTATAATGAGGTCGATGAAGAATGCTGTGTGAATCTAATTGCAGAATTGGTGTAAAAGGGTCAACTCTGACAACAGCACTGCACCTATCGTGTTTATTACTTAGCATAGATACTCTGCATGTGTTAAAACCCTCCAAAGACTGCACAATATGTGTGTTAACTCAAATTGAAACTCATGTAACATGCTCTTAACTCCAACTGCCAAGATTGTGGATGAGCTTGCAAGGCGGCTACAGTAACTGGGACACTTTGGGATCTGTCACAGTGTTAAAGCCTCCGAGATTAGCCTTTTGTGACCAGAGACTTTTGGTTAATCTGACAGTGCAAATACATACTGGACCATGAGTGAGGGACCTGCACAGCCAGAGCCTACTAGAAGTGTTCTCTCCTCAGTGACACAACTTAATTTATGTATGATGCCTCAGCACAAAATCAAGGCAATGCAGTGCTGATGGTGCACCAGGTTGATACGTCAGCAACATAATGTTGTTGATAGCGCAGCGTGGCTAAAGTTTGATCGATTGTGAAAACCTTGACTGGAGTACATGGACATTTTCTCCCATACCATATTCTGTTTGACAATCTGCTGCTTTAAGGCGGCAGAATAATTTTTCATTTTCTAACTTTAAATTAGAGCATGTCCGTGGTGCTAAACAGCTTCTTTGCCTCTAGGGCCAATCATCATGTCTGTCACTTTTTATAGTTTATAAGTGGTTCCGAAACCTAAGTGTCTTTGGGCGGTGTCTGCCATTTTATTTCCACCACACTCAGAAAATCCTCCAGCATCATTAATCATTGTGTACATGTAAAGTTCAGCTTCTGAAAATGCCAATTGATATTTTGCAGTGGCTTATTCCACTTAAAGAAAATATCTAGTTTGGAGTGCAAGAGTGAGAAATGAAATGTCCAAACTGGCAAGAGAATGTCAGAATTCCTATTAAGATGAAAGAATGAACGTCTCATCTCTGTCTGGGGAGGATGTTGTTTATTCAAAGTACAGTAGTTTGGCGCACCCCCCGCCAAAAAAGGAGCACCGGATCATTTGAAAAAAGGCGCATTTGCGCACCAACATTGAGAGAGAGAGAGAGATAGAGGGAGAGAGAGAGAGAGAGAGAGAGAGAGAGAGAGAGAGAGAGAGAAAAAAGAGAGAAGAGAGAGATAGAAAAGAGAGAAGAGAGAGAGAGAGATATTTGCGAGTTGCATAAAAACTGGTAAACAGGGTTTCCCACACATAGACTTTACTTGGGCGGGCCGCCCAGGTATATTAACGGCCGCCAAAGTATAATTCGCGAGCCATTTAGGTTTAATTTTTTTAATCCGTCCGTGAGCACGACGGCATCTGCGATCCCTCGCTCTACCCCTCGCTATCGCGTGAAGGGTCTGCTTTATGCGCTCCGCACAGTAACCCTGCTGCGAGGCTCCGGCGAACAGTTCATGAGCGTGCTCACTAGCGAAAATAAATGTCAGATATGTCAATGAGTGTGTCAAAGTGCAGGTCCTGCTAGAATGCTACTTAATCACCTCTGTATCTGTGCGCATACTGAAATGGACCATTGAAGAAAAATAACAAAACCAACACAAATAATGGATGTTAACTGCAGTATAAAAAACGTGTTCTCAATAACAAACAAATTAACTATAGGAGGACTGTAATAGTTTTTCTCGAATATGTAGATTGTTAGAAGGTCAGGAGGTGTGGCCACACTAGATAAACAGCAAGATTTTTACCTAAAAAACTGAACAAATGCAGAAATCTTCCCTTGGTGGGAGAAAGTTCATTGTGAGATTCATGGCTAACACATCAGCGCTGCTTTAAAAGTTACATTGAAGGTAATTTTGATGCAGATGTGGAAAAAACAATAGAAAAAAGGCACTGGAGGAGTAACAATGAATTGGTTAAAACGCTCAATATTGCACCCGCCTACAGGCCAAGGACACAGTCCACACAAGCAACATTGGTAAGGGACACAATGCAAGGGCCGTTTCTTGCATTCAAGAGAAGCAGAACCTCTGGTCCAAATGTTGAAAGGGGATGCTAATGCAAGTTGCAGAGTTAATCTCTTTAAAGAAATATCAATGTAAACAATCAAAAACCAACATGGATGGCAGGAATGTTTCATGTTCATCATGTAGCTAGCTGTAAACACCTGCTGTCTGATCCACAGTTACATTTGGGTGTAGGATTACCTTTAAAAGGTTTAGTTCAAACTTAGTTAACTCATTTGAAGTGACTAATAACTTGACTATTCTCTGCACTTCAGAATCTTAGTGATAATACTCACTAAGTAACTTCTGAAAATGAAATACCAGCATTAGCTTCCTAGCTAGTAATGATGATACATACTAAGGAACTTGCGTCTGACTTAATTACAACTGTCCCTTTTGGATTTTTCCAGCAGTAACTTCCTAGCTAGCTAAATGGACACTAATGGCTAAGAGATGTACATCACAAACTCCACGTATTGCGTGTACTACAGCGAAAGCCAAAGTGTCAAAAGACCTGGTGTGTTTGGTCCCTGCTAAGGAAAGATTGGGCAATGTTTGTTGAAGGGCTTTAGCGAACAAAAAATAAAATGAGTATATTGCACCTAGTTGTTAAGTTTCTATGCTGCTAACTTGCATTAGCATACGCTTGTCTTGTGTTAACTTTATATCAAGCTTTAATCCACTTACCCCAGGGAGGGAGGTTGGCATGCACTTGTTATGAGGGAGGGTATGTTAAAGAGGTTGGGAAGACAAGCACACACCTTCAGTGTGGGACACAGGCAAAGAGATCTCCATGCAAGCAGCAGACTGGGCCTTGCGGAAGGGCGGTCGGCCAGGGCCTCTGCGGGTAAGCCGTGGCCCCTCGGGACCCATCGGGACACGAGGCTTGCCTGCCGAGGGCTGGGAGGTGGGGCTAGTGCAATGTCCATTGACATGATCTGTAACAACGGCAAAGCATTAGCAAACAATACAAGGAGGGAAAGAAAACATTCAAAAATATTCCTATCCACTGCCGCAATATCCATCTCCATATGTCCTCATAAATCTTCAAATAAGGGGAGAGCTCTTTTTACTTATTCATAATGCAGCTTTCAATGACACGTACGGATCGCTCTCACCCTATTTGGAGTTTGGCTATCTTTTTAAAAATGCTAACTTAATATCTAATCTTTTCAGTATTATACTACTTGACCTATGAAGATGGATATTTTTGCAGTGTAAGAGGAGCAAGCCGATGTTAGAAATTAGATTGTTATTAAGAAATATGCAGGTGACAGAGAAAGGTAAAGCGAGTGAGTGAAACAGGGCTGGAGAGTGGTCTGAAGTAAGTATGAGTAGGGAAGAGACAGAGATGCTGGGGCAACAGTAAATGCAAAGGCAAATCGTGAATGCAGTTTCATCTGGTCAGTGCCGGGAAAGAAAATCAAACAAAAACAGGCTTGTTTCATCTCCACTTCGCGTCTTCTTTGATTCTCTTGTATTGTTGTTCATTTTCAAGAAACTATTTATTTATTTTTAAGAATGGTAGCTGTACAACATTATTATTACTACATGTTGATTCATGGCAAAAGGCTACAAGTATAGTTCAAGTAATAGAGCAAGAATACAAAAATAATCTAATGTCCGCTTCTTTAAAAAAAAAAATGCAAATTAGCAGACACACTGGTCTGGCCACACAATCAGCCACAGATGGTGGAGACAGGAAACACTTGTTACTTTCTGGAATTGTATCCTTGCATGGCCTCCCCTCAGGGAGTGAGTTTGTGGGAGGCTTTGTCCTTAATGTACAGTGTGTGTGGGCAACATAATTAGTTTAGAGCCAAACCTTATTAATGAGACAAGGGAAAGAAAGGCAGGATTGGGAGCACTCTGTGGTTCTTTGTTGTCCGCAGTTTGGACAAAGGCGCTGCCAAAACAGCCGTAATTAAAACCTAATGATACCTACTGCCTCAGTACTCTTCTCACTTGTCTTCAGAGACGAGTAAATAAAACAGTGCCCTTTTCTTTAATGGCATTCTTGTGGCAGAAAACCAAATTTAAAACAGTTTAGTGTTGACAGGCCCATCTGATCAAACCCTTCCTCACAGAAATGTTCTTTTATTAAAACTCATGAAGCAAAAGGATCATTAGCATTATGATAATTAGTATAAACAAGGATTAATACTCTCTTGTCGATGTCTGCCCAGTGTTTGGCACAGATCATACGTCTGTCACATCAAATATGTCTCCTGTTCAGCCAGTTGATGCACAAATGATTCAATTTCAAAGTGTAGATGAAAAACTCCGGGGTGCCTCCCAGTACGTGTGCAACACTCGCCCAGTTTCACAGCAGGACAAGGTGAGGCAATGCAGAGATTGAAAACTGCAGAACAGACCAATACAGGAGCTGTGTATCTGTCTTAATGTTTTGTAACTGTGAATTTCAATAAGGCAGGCAGCAAATGATTAATTTGCCTCAAAATGTTCTGCAGGAAACTGGTAACACAAAGAATGTACACACTCCCCAACAAACAGTTTACTGCACTTATCCATCAGAGTGCACACACTATTGCGCATATACACAGACACACACACTTCAGAGTCATACACTCTGTAACACACTGTTCTGACAACAAAGATAATTTGCATAACCCAAAGCTTTCCATATTGCTTTCATTTTTTCCACAAATATACATTTTAGCGCGGAACAGGTTAATCTTCTCAAAATTGGATTTAGAAGTTTAGTTAATGTTCTCATTGTCAACATTGCCTGAACTAGCTATAACACGTTTACAAAATAAAAGCATTTGGTGTACCTGTCAGGTAAAAGAAAGTCATTAAATGAGGCAAGTCACAGGAATAATTGGGCACTGGCACATTGCGTGTTAGAGAAGCAGAAGTTGGAATAGGGGACAGCATGTGTGAAGCAGCAGTCTGCAGAAGCAGAGCGAAGGAACCTGAGATCAAGATGTGTCAGCAGAAGAGATGTATGGGAGGAGACCCTCAGTTTCTGTAATGCAGATGATCCAGTCAAAAGACGGTTCAAGAGATAAATGATCCAGTAACAATGAAAGAGGAAGCGAGTGATCCAACCACTGTAGAGCAAGGCTGTCAATGAAGGAAAGGTTGTGTAAAATCAGAATATGGTCCAATCATGATAAAGCGATAGAAAACCTCAAATTTAAATATGGGCATGATTTACAAATCACCTTTATAAACACTTGCAAAATGTAGAGAAAGGAATACAGAAGGTTTAAATCAAATCAAAATACATTAAAGGGCAAAATGGACAAACACTTCAGTCCAACAGTCTCATGGGCTGGTAGAACAGGAGAAGAAGTGACAAGTAAACTGAAGGGAGAAAGTTTGAGTGAGAATAAAAACTACTAAAGCAACATAAAAGCCTTGAAAACATGACAAAAGCAGAAACTAAATGACTCAAAGGAAATTAAGTGAAAACTGCTGGCTTTCGCCTACCGTACCAAGATCAGTCTTAAGATCTGTCGGCAGACTTAACTTTCTGCCGGGTCCCTTTACTGAAACAAAAGAATAGGAAACAAAGCACCAGTTAATCCCTTAAAATAAAAAATGATAAAAAAATAAAGTAGGAGTAATCTAAGTAAAACAATGACAAACCAAGGTGCAAAACAAAAATAAAAAACCTCAAACAAAACAAAATGGAAATCACTCAAATGAACTAAGAAACAGAACATGCAAATTGTTGCAGTTGAACACGGCAGGCATTTTTACAAAATACATGCTCCGTTCTTGTCCCAGGCCAGTATTCCCAGCTATCTCTACAATATCTATAGTGGGTCAACTTAACTGTCCTGAGAATGTATTTCTTAAAACTAAATGGTAATTGTCTTGTTGGACTGCAACAAGGCAAGACAAATATATTAGATGTAATTGCTCATTAACGGCATACATCAAAAATCTGAATTACTCTGCTAAAGGTCTTTACTGAAAAAATAAACAGGGTGACACCACAGGGTGTCAATACAAAATCACAGTCAGACAGTGAGGATAACAAAATAACTTTTCAAAACACATTTTGCAAGCATTTTGCAGTAAGTAGAAAACTGCAAAGGTCGAACTTGAGATGTTATGGTTTGGTTTCCCCCTCAAAAAGAAGGCAATATTTCATTGTTTCTTTGTGTTGAATGATTAACTTGACATGTGGGAGACAAGGGATGGTGTTTACATGACTTCTGATTAAATTCATGACACTAAGGAAAACAGCATGATCATGAATTTGCATTATTTATTATTCTGACCACTTTAGAATCAAGGAATCAATGAGGATTCCTAAAAAAAAACAAAAAAAGACTGTTGACTCTGTTGAATGGTTTCAATCCTTTCTCCATACAGTACCATAAAAAGAAGTACAGCAGAAGACATTCGGCCTACTGGAGGGAAATACTAGTATCTTTTGTTATCTACTGTAATAATGAAATACATGTAATTCCATTGTTAGAGTTTATTTTCTCTGGAGGACCATGTAGGATGCTCATTTTCAAAGGGCATTTTGAGGAACAATGCATATCCTTTATTGAGGAAATTGCGGTGTTATGGTGCTCTAACTTAATTTCTCAATCAATGAATTCCTGTTTCCATTTTTTCCCGGAGTAAGTATAGCCATTCCAATTAGTGTTGCTAATGAGATAATAGATGAGCTCTGTGCGTGTGTGTTTTCATAATAATCTGCGGTGGCCAGATGCTGCCTCCCTCAACCACATGAAACGTGCAGCGTTAGGGATACAGTAACAGAGAAAATCATCTCATCATAAACCTGTTACACACAGATGTTCCTCTGTTTAATAGCTCAGTGGCTGCATTAACGCTTCATAAATGGGTGGTCTATTGTGAATATTATTACATGTTACTTTTTAGTAACAATATAACAATATATGAACAATAACTAACCAAACAATTATAGCCGTTGTTTTTGCAGCTGCTGTCCCGCCTTATACGACATGCTCACTAAACATACAGCCTAACTTTGGCCGGTTGAGCAACATTACAATAATGTACCTAAATATGGCAACATTTTCTACTTAAATAATATTTTCTATAATTCGTGTGCTTTATTTCATGGTTGGAGTACCTTTAACTCCATATGGGTATCTTGTTAGTATCTTATGTGACAATATAAAACACTTTACACAACACTTTATGTTAGACTAACCCCATGTGTGAATTTAGCTGTGTGTCCAATAAACAAATCTGTGATTAGTCACATATCAGTCGTAACCACGTATTAAGCAGTGTGCTTCACCTTCAAAAGTGTTTTTATGATTCCACAGATGTCTACGGTGTTTCTACAATCGATGCCAGTGAGATCAATGCCTTTGAAGATAAAACCCGCTGTTAGATTAAGGGGTTAACAAGATTAAGAATCTAGATCCATGCTAGCAGCTCTGTGAGGCGGTGCTTTGAGTTAAATGTTAATGTCAGCATACTAACATGTTCATCATAGTGACGATACAACCATGCTGATGTGTAGCAGGTATGACGTTTCATAATCTAAGGTGAGCTTTTCAGCATTTTACCATTTTCCATCCCAAAGCTGTCAAGATATTTAAATAAAAAACATCACATTTTAAACTCATGCTGTTGCTAGTTGAAACATCAGGGGAACACCAAGGTCATTAGGGTTCATCCTATAGGGATCATGAATGTTTTTACATCACTGTAAATCACAGTCTGTAAATCATGGCAATCCATCCTATAATTTTCGATATATATCAGTCTGGACCAAAATGATGAACCCGACGAATCAACTTATAAACACTTCGCTATTTGTATAGGGGAGTTTATGAGACTGAATCATAGTAATGCACGAAGTGCTAAGGTCATATATGGGGGTAATGTTGGACAACAACACTGATAAACATACAAAGCAAGCTGCAGTCATATTAAAAGGCTCTGCAGCTAGCCAAATATTGGACACCATGCAGTTAGTTAGACGGGACAGCGATGAATGTTAGCCAAGTTGATAATGAGATGGGTTTATCGACACACAGTAAGAGAGACACAATAAGAGAGACTCTGATATGTAAAGTAGCATGTTGCTTTTTACGGTAAAGAAATGTAGTTCCAGTGGAGGCACAATGATTGATGTCACAGAGAATGAATCACAAGAGCCGAGACAATTGAGGAGGAGAGGTACCCGGCTGGAATACAACCCCTCACCCATCCCAAGCCCGTCTGCCTTGCAGTGTATTGGCCAATTATGATTCAAGTTCAAAGCCCGCATCTGGCACGTATACAACAAACAACACAATGTCAAACCCCCTGCAGCCTGGGCAGAGAGATAATGCAACACCAGCAATCGCACAAACGCATGGAACATTTTGACAAGGCAGCGACAGACAGTCTACTCCTAAAAACACACACTTCCTGTCAGCTTGTTTACACTGCAAGCAACTCTGTCATTGTGTTGTGAACGTTTCAGGGTTAGAATGTGTTTCGTTGTATTTAAACATATTCATAGTGACTTTGTGAAAGCTATGTTGCTTATTTGTGGGATTTTCCCAGGCTTTTTTCCCAAATAGTTATTTGTAAGCCCAAACTGCTAACTGCTAACTATCTAGCTAGCAAACAGTAGGGGTTACCAGTGAAGCCTCAAGAACTTACACATTTTAATGTAGGATACATCCAACACCTATTTTCTTTGCACATTAAACCTTTGAAATCAAAATTGAAGTAACAGGGAAGCCCTGAATTGTTATAATCAACTTTTGGGCCGTTTTGCACAAGCTATGGATTTCTGTTATTCATGAGGTGTTGTTCAACAAGTAAGCGTTATTTGCCCTTGACATAAACTTAATATACTACTTTCTTGGTTTGGTTGTGTAAGGTATGAATGTGCCTCTGATTGTGTTGCTCACAGTGTGGAAGCAGAGTTAGCATGCAAGGTGCAACATTGAACCAACCACCTGCCAAAAAAACAAACCAATACTCCCATCGCCCCTCCCTTGTTGCATCAAAACACAAGCAGATGTTCATGAAGAGGCTGAGATCCGTGACACATCCCTCCTCTTACCATTGTCCAGCAAGTAAAAGACTGGACTGCAGTGGCTGGCTCTCAGACTGGCCACAGGCTCGGGCAGGACGCGTGGGTCATTGTGAAGGGAGGTTGGGTAATGAACTGGAATAGGAGATCCAACAGAACAGACACAGACTTTTCAGGGCAACAGGGGAGAGACATACACAATGGGTGAACTGGGGAGAAGAGAGACTTGCAGGTAACAGGAAGGAAAACAGGTTATGAAAATATAAGTGTTAGTTGGAAACCCACTATTCCAACAGCAATGATACTAGAACCTTGTAGAAAGATCATCAATTACTATCACAAACCACACCAATACTACTACTTATACTACTGCTACTAGCTGACTACACAGGAACACCACTACTTTTAACATCACAATTACTAGTCAAGTATGTCTCTACCAAATCCATAGAGGCAGTCAGTCATCCAGGTTTATTACACACATGTCACTGTGACCCGCCTTGATGTCTCAAGGCAATTTATTTTTGCTCCCAAATATACACAACCTCACCTAAGTTCCCGACTTTCTTTTTAACATTTCAATACATGTATTTCAAACAGACAACATATAATATATCATTTCCATGTCGCTGTCAAGTACCTGATTATTGTTAAAGATAAATGTTGGTTGCAATTGTAAACTCAATCAAGTTTCACAAAAAATAGGGCTCATAAGTTACCAATGTCAAATGACGTGCAAAATGAGGCATGTGTAATAAACACATACTTAACACATTTGTTGTAAACAGTAATTTTATTAGCAAAAGTAGCAACACAATTCATGGGTTTTTACTATGTAATATAAATGGTATTGGACCAGCAGGGCTTAGTTGAATAAGCAGACCTATTTTAAGTTTTCTGAAGCCACCTTGAGATGCATGGTGACACCAGTTCAGCACACTGTGAAGTTTCTCACATCACCTCTTCCCTTTATCCCCTGACAAGCCCACCTCTAAAAATATCCTGCCAGGTCAGGCAGTGCTCACTGGCATCCGAGCTTGTTAGTCCATCTTACAAACGGGGCCTGGTCAAGTAAGCATTGCTACAGCCACCTGTGGCATAAAGCTCCCTGTGGAAATGTAACGCATGACCCAAAACCCAAAACAACAGACTTCAGGACATAAAACGGAAGACAATGGGTAGGATGTGAAGGGAGACAGCTTTCAGACAGGAGAAGGGCCAATTACTGGGCCTAATGACAAAGGGAAGATAGGAAAAGGGTCGGGTAAAACAGAGGGAACGATGTGCGAGGAGAGAGAGTCTGCTGCAGTTATTGACACACGGGGTGAATCGGGACGATAGCTGGTTTCCTTAATAAGCTGTCCACAGCCTGTATAGGGCTAAGAACAGACACAATGCACATGGCGGGCCAGGGACAGTGAGACAGCCTCTAATGGCCATAGAGAAAGGTGGAAGTTAATATTCAGAAGGAAGAAATAAAATATTCGCCTATTCAGCAGAGCAAAGCTGTGTTTCCTCATTTCCAAACTTAACTTCTTTCATTTTAAATCCAAATGATTGGAATACACGCCATTTCTTTAAAAACATTCAATTTAGGCCACACTGCTATTAATAACTCCTAACATTTCCGTCTTTATTGAAATTGCACTCAGATCAATTGCTCCATAGCTGCCTTTTTGTCCACTCTCCGGCAAAGAGACTCAGACACTTGATCATGCTGTGTCTTTGCTTTTTTCCATCCCTACAAGATGTTTATTTCCTCCATTTCTCTAATTAGCAAATGAAAGGCTTTTGAAGGGACAGGATGACCATGACCTAGTCCACATCACAATACCGAAAAACTCTCGGCAAGGATAGCAAAGAACTTGTCCTGGTTTTATTATTCTGTTCGTATGCTCTCCTTATGAAGCCTAATGGCAAAGCTGGAGAGCACAAAAGAACAGACAAAAAGGACAGATTTTCAAAAGACAAGCTCCACAGGTGATAAAACCAATTCTGTATCATGGACAGAACCTGAAAGACATTTAACAACATCATTTGTAGTGAACTAGCATTCATACCGTATGTCTTTAGAAGTTACATTTGTCAAGTCAGGTCCAGGTTCTTTGCAAAGCCTGTAATTACTGCTCGTAAAATTTTTCCAAAGCCATTCATAAATGCCCACTTAGCACAGTCCATCCCGAAGTGGCTACGTGTTTTGAAAAAGCTACAGAAGAAGTAATACAGAAGGCTGGTTTCACGCAGCACCACTAGGTCCAATGAATTCATTACACTAAACAAGGGTTAGTGCAATGAACTTTGCATATCTAGGTCTATTTATCCATCAATGTTCAGCTGTTTATCTGGGTTAGGATGTGATGGCATACAGCTAACAAAACAATTTAGCCGTCCTCCGTTCCAGCCACATCTCATAGGTCTTTCTGGGTTAACACAATATATTATCCCTCTACTGTGGTCAAGGTCAGCCCAATGGTCATCTCCCAGTTGGTCCTCCACAGCGAGGCTTCTAGGAGTCATCACAGTTATCGTTCCTTCCAAGATCCTTCTGGATACCAAAGATGCCTGGCTCTCAAGTAAAGCTCAAACAGGAAATGCTTATTATTGGGCAGAAGGGATTCTACCTGTGACTCTAGGCGGATTTCCCTTGGACATTGTCTAAGGTGAATATCAGTAATTCAAAGGCTTTGACCTATGAGGCCAACATGGGCACAGTCGGACAAAGCAACATGGAGCAAAGTGAGCTCATTACCTCTAAGAACAAGGGTAGAGCTGAGGCATTGCCAGATGGAAAGTGGGAAACAGCCGCGCCCTTGGTGGCCTGAAGCCTGTCACATTATTTTTTTCCTGAAGCATATGAAGTGCCTTGGTGCTGGCACAAATCCCCAAAGCTTTTATTCTCTGTAAAACCCATCAGACTAATTGAATACTTGCACACAGTGGCACTTCTCTCAGGTCCTAGCATTCACACACTACTGGGAATAAATGCAGAGATTTCTAACTGGCTAATGATGTGTTTGTTACTACACAAAGATCACATCCACAGCTCGTTAATGAACAAATACAGTTTACCTGTACCTCTGCTTGGTTCAAATAAATAATATTTCGAGTGCTTTAACAATCTCCACTTACCCCCTTGGATCCCATTTTCCCAGGTCTTGTTTCAAATTTCTGTTATTCTGTTGGCTTCATGCTATTCGTGGAAGTTCAAAATGATACTGTACATTTGTTCTTTCTTTCCTCGCAAAGCACCATTTTGCCATCAAGGCAAACATTAGAAAGTGATGTCATAGAGCAGTGGTTCCCAAACTTTTTGTGCCCAAGGCACACCAAAGGACAAGTAAAAATCTCAAGGCACACCTATTGTGCAAAATAGCCCTTATAACACGTGTTATCACTCATATCATGTAAAATATCTGTAAATGTGCATAATTATTTACTAATGCCAAATAAAATGTGACAAACACAACTATATTACTCATGAAATATTTATTAACGAAATATTTCAGAAATTAATTTGAAACTTTATCAAATTAGGCTTCATCAAAGCAGCAACACACTCATTTAAACCAGACTGGTCACAAAATAAAAAATTGTGGAGGATCAGGCTTTGGTGGTCGGCTCCCATCTCGGCGCACAGCTGGGAGAAGAGGCGAGATTTCAGGGGCCTTGATTTGATGTAATTCACCATCTGCACAGCCTGATTCAGCACCTCAGTCAACTCCGGGGGCATGGTTTTGGCAACTAATGCCTCTCTATGCAAAATGCAGTGGTTTGTCACGATATGTGGGTTTTGTGCTCTCACCTTAGCAATAAATCCTTTCACTCTCCCCGTCATGCTTGCCGCACCATCTGTGCGCACATATTCCAGGTCAGACTGTTCTCTTTTAAATAGTTATTAGTTACCCTGAATATTTCTTCTCCCGTAGTATGGCTTTCCATTTCGTTGCAAAAGAAAAACGTCTCTGATAGAGTCAGCATCAACATATCTGACGTTTGCCAGAAGTTGGGCAGCCCCACTTATGTCAGTAGATTTGTCTATTTGTAGGGAAAATCTGCCGCTCGCCTGCAGTGCCATAAGACAGGTAACTTTCATGATACTGTCTGCTGACAGTTTTTTTCCTCTTTTCTTTCGGTGGTGGGTTGTCGGCAGTCTCTGCACTGGTGGTTGGTGGTTTGCTCCGCACAAGAAAGCGCTCCATTTTCCCTCTTGCGTGTTTCTCTGTTTTAATGTTGTCCTTCAGCCTTCGATGTGTCACGGTCTTATAATTCCCACCTGCAACTGCGTTAACAGCGAAATATGGGGTTCTGTGGGGATCTTTTTTGAAATAATTGTTTTTAGGTATAGAGTTTGCCTCTGCATTATGAAATGAGTGCATACAAAGTACTGATATAGTAAATACAAAAATAACTATTTTTGTGTAGTTGTATATTGCAATAATAACGTATGGTTGTCACAAAATCCCACGGCACACCCGGACTTGCCTCACGGCACACCAGTGTGCCGCGGCACACCGTTTGGGAACCACTGTCATAGAGTATGACAGCTGATATTAAAAGATTACTGGAATAAATGTTGCTTGTTTTTTTGTAGGAGAATACCAGTACGTGGTAGTATTTCATAACGTTTAGAAAAAAATTGTTGAACTCAAGAAATTATTCAACTTTATTTTAAATGGAATAGACTTTTAAAATAAATCAACTAGTATCATATAATAGCTTTTACATTTAGTGGGTTCGGTAAAGCCTAACTAAGCACTCTGAGCCCCGAGGACACAGCAGGACTGCTTGGCAGTGTCTCAAGCACAGATTTACACACTTTCACACTCTCTCATTTGACCTTTAAGTCTTGAATTTGCTGAGATAAAATGATTTCCCACAACAGATACAAAAGCCATTACACATCTGTTTCCTTTTTTTTTTGCAAGCTTTCAACTGCCACTGTATACATGATTTCATAGTTTAAACGTCATTCATAGTGTCCAAATGTTACTCCGTACCAACCAATGATCTTCTAATCTATGACAGCTAGCCAATGCAGCTTATCTCTTGCACTCAACTTCAAACCTCCATCTATCAAACTGTTTCTGTGATCCTGAAACCCAAAACAGGTGACAAGATTATGAATAAAGCTTTTGCCGCAAATATTAAGGACATTTATATATCAACCTCATCATTTCCCTCTAAACAGGCAAGTCTATTTCCTCATCCTATAACATTGAATAAAAGTCAAGAACTACACACTAACATGCCAGAACACATTTAACTGCAAGCAGTGTACAGGAGGCTTTTATAATATATTATGGATGATACAAATAAATAATTTAACCAGCAGCGAGAAGTTTTCTGACCTCAGATATTTTAAGACTTTATTCTGTAAGATATTGCTAAGATAGTGTCACATGTTTTCAGCTGCAGGTCATCACCACTGCTGCCAGCTGCTATGGGCAATGTTTTAAGGTAAACATGTTATTGGGCCTACTCATTTGAGCAGGTCCTCAGTTTGGCTTTCTATATATTTTACTCTATGTCTGTGAATACTATCTCCTGGCTACTTTCTTCTATCCCTTCACAACAGTGTCAGGACTGGAGTCCAAGAGTATAAGAAGAGTTGGGAAATCAAGAACGTCAAAAAAAGGATAAAGAGGAAGAGCATATGATACGTCAACTCTTTTCACTGGCTTACCTTTGTGAAATAATAAAATCAGCTGTGACCAAATGCTTCAGAAATACCACAATATAAAGCAATCAAACTGTCTGACCACCAACTTATTTTGAAAGACAACTCTCAACTGGACGTATTTTCAGCACGCCCTGCACTTCTTTAAGATCTTGACTGAAATAGAATAGTGCAGTGTTGACATATTTTTGTAAACAACCAAAAGTAAGAATCACAAAAGGCTTTCTTTGCTAAAAGTGGAAAGGATTTTTCCATTGGACTTTGGAATATTGCAGAAAATAAGCAAACACACATTTATTATACTTACAACTTTTGCAATGCAATTGATTGAAGTAAATAGCTAACTGTTACCACCTGTCATTTTTTTAAGACACTTAATAGCTTCAGACAACCAATAATTGGGTGTTTTCGAGCATATTTAATGTCATGGAACAAAACATGAACATCTCGGATTTGTGTGTCAACCATAAACCTTATCTAACCAAAAATTCATTGAAAAAACCATTGATTTCAAGCCTAGGGAACCGCACAAGCTTAAATGCTATCTCATTTATGGATTTAGGACTCATTCCTGAACCACTCTATATGTCCACACTCAAACCTCAAACATTGAGTTGCAATTTGCATCAGCTGCCATTCAGATCAGGTGAAGATGCTCTGGTGAAGGGTGAAGTGTCCACAGGCTGCATACTGGAGGTATATCTCGCACTCAAAGACAAAGGCATCCCAGCAAAGCTTCACAGTGCCAATCACAGAACACATTTCCGTACAGGGAAGGTGCTCTCCGCAGTGTGTGTGTGTGTGTGTCTGCAGGTTACCTGAGGTGGGCGACTTGCTTCTCTCCATGTCAATGGACTGCTGGTTGTCAGAGAGTTCCGTAAGGCCTGTCGCAGCCAATGGCAGCCAGGAGGAAGAAAGGTAGAATGCACAAAGACTGTCAGATCACTTTGACCTCGTCACTCAGATGGGATTTCACAGAAGTTGGTTGTCAGCCACGCAGAACCAAAATAAAGAGCTTTAGAATTCAGTTCTTCAATGTTCTACAATCAACTACCAGTTCTGAATGAGCGTTTGTGAAAGTGTCATTTCATGGGGATTTAATATCTCTCTTAATATGTGACGTTTGTTATTTACCCTTCCACTGTTAATATTTCTAAGGATTCTTTTTCCGGGAGCAGAGTGGCTGAAACCTGATGAAACCTGCACCACAATCTGTTCCATCTATAGTCACTTTTATTTAAAATTCCCCACCAGATTCCATAAAAAATGTCACCATGACACTAATTAATTAAGTGTGTAGTGCAAATCTCATGATAAAAAGTCATATATAATCAAAATACACAACAGAACAAACACACATTTGATCAAAACTGATCACATGCAGCAAGCACAGGCAGAAAGAGAAGTCATACCTACTTCCACTTTAAATCCAAGGTTCTTTATTGTCAAACTAACATAGCTACAGAGTAATTATGTCGTTGAAAATCTTATCCACCACAAATGTGCAAATATCTAATTATTTTTCCTTTCTGTCTGACGACCAATGCCTGGTGTTTAAGCAACATTCATTAGTGCTTCATTAACAGCCTCACTGATTCGTAACAGTTCAAAAATGTTTGATTAATTTAATTATTTCTCTGCAGCAAGTTTCCAGCAAAACCTCCTAATGAACGTTTCCTTTAATCATTTACACTGGCTTTGAAGAAGGCCTGAAGACCTTGAAAACATTATTTTAGTATAAAACTAAGATTTCCTCTGTAATCATCAACCAGAAGCAGACATGTTGGTTTGCCTAGGCCTAGTGGGTCACGAGGAAGGCTTTATTCACCCCATTTTGCTTCAGTTAAAATATACATCACATGGATCATATACTATTTATAACTGCCCTTACTTAAAAGACTTGAGGGAGTGGCTGTGCAAAGGACAAACCATTGGACATGACTGGAATAGGGCAGTTCTGTGTTATAAGGCCAAATGAAGATAGGAAACAAGCACTTAGTTCCAATCATATCTTTAGTTTGTCCCTTGGCTTTCAGTCCACATCATACCTTCTTGGCCATCTCCATGTTGTTCAAGTATGTTCCCCCACAACACTGCCCCAACCCCACCTCCCCCCCGCACACAAACACAGAGTCCCCCAGCCTTTAGTAAGGCCCGACTTACTCTGATAGGATGTACGGATCCTTTTCTTTGAATCTGAATAAAAGTTAGACAGGCCACGCATGCTAAAGTCTGTCAGGCAGGCCCACATGCCCACAGCAGCAGCCACAGAGTCCCCGAAAGGGAGGGGGAGGAGAGGGAAGGAATGAGTAGTGGAGGGGATGGTGGGCAGGAATAATGAGTGAAGGGTGAGAGGAAGGTGGGAAAGAGAAAAACAGGTGATAAGGTTGGAAGGAAGAAAAGTAGAGGAGGAGGAAACAAGGGTGAAGAGTAAGGAAGAATGTGAGGGGAAGGTGAGGGAGGATTGATGAATGCAGTTTAGACATTTTAGGACCGAGGCAAGGGAGGGGAGGAAACGGGAAGGGAGGGGGAGAGAGAAGAACACACAGGCTTAGAGTGGAGAGAGCAAGCAGCAACCGAGTTAGTGTCAGGGGGGGGGGGCAGACAGGAAATACCCGCTACAGCTGATGTGATCGGTCATTTGCACAAGAGGTAGCTACTGTGCTAGCGGGGAACATAACATTACCTTTAAACAGCATTCAAATAAATCTCTTGTTGCATCAAATCATTGCTTTACATGACATGTTGTTTGTATACTTTTTAACATCGAGCCTCGAGTCCTAACAAGGTATCAATAGTTCATTAGAGAATAAGAAACACACCTAGAATTATCAATATCATTTAATGAGATGAATAGACTAAATTTGATTGACATATATATATACATACAAATATGTGTGGCAACAACAGCTAGAAATGTTGTGGAAAGGACAGCAAACTATGTTCTAGAAGTTGGTAAAAAGTTATAAAAAGTAAAGCTTAAAGACAGATTAGCAAGTGTCATTCACCTCTTTTTGGCCTTTTTAGAGTTTTGTCTTTAGTGTTATATCAACTCCAGCAGAGCACAGGCTAGAAATCATAACACCACCTCCTGGGGTGGAGAAAAGGGCACGCTCGCCCGTTTCTATTTTCCCTTCAGTCTCCAAATTGATTTTAAAGACCCGACACATGAAGACTTTTACAAAAGATGAAGTTGGGAACAATAAGTGCTCTGGCAGTCAATAAAAAGCACTTATGTAACAGATAAATGATTTTGAAGGCCATTTCTTATTCTACGTTAATATTCCCCTTCACAAAATACCTGTAAAACATTCTCCTCTAAACTTCTGGGAATTATGTAATACGAGAGCTGTGTACTCTAAATTGCCTAGAGGGTCTTAGACATCTAAAATATGAAACCACTTAAGCTGCTTAGTTCTAAAATGCAGAGGTTACTGTAGGGTCAAAAGAAAGCTTGAGTTCCTGATGATAATTTAAATATAAATAAGAGCCTTTGGAGCCCATCACCAGTCAAGATCAGTAGCAGAGAGAAGGGAGGCAGGGGTCAGGACAACGACACCTCTGTGGCTTTAGACTACAGATCTATGCTCAAGCAAGACTAAAAACAGAAAGGACAGAGATAAACAAAGGACAACATGCATAACAATGCCAATGTGGAATGACACGCAGCCTGTTAACATGCACTTCATATCATAGTGCAGATTTGTGACAGGCATACTGAGGTGGTGTTTTGGTCTTTGTATGTTAATGTATGAGAAAAAGAGAAAGCGGGGCAGAAGTAAGGTTTGACTGATACAGGTGTTTGACTGCTGATACAGATACATATCATCGATGTAACTTGTCGATGGTCTACATTTTGTACAAATGGCCAATTTTAGCTTACTCTGAATCATTTTGTTAAAAACGTATCTGATAGAGATTTAAGCCCATTCTCCATTAACACTAAAACACAGATGGAGGACGTTGTAAGATCCTGTATTGAAGGAAAATACTCTGAAGTATGCAGCAGCATCCAAACCTTCACTTAAGTAAAAATACTTTTGTGCTACCACTAAATACTAAGTATCAAAAGCAAACATACTCTTGGTCTCTGTAACAATGTAATATATTCATATATTTTATAGCATTGATCTTTTGTAGAAGCATTATTCAAATATGTCTATGCAAGAGCAGTACAATTACCTGAATGCAAAATATTACTTGTGTAAATATAAAGTTGTGCATTGTCTGGAAAGTGTATTCAATGTAAATTAAAAGTATCCAGCCAAATGGCCCCTTTCAGAGTTTTTTTCAATGCTGAATTTGGTAGTAGTTAAGTCTAACTACCATATATATTGCTGGCCAGTTGACATTTTCAATATATGAAACATTTATTAATTCTACATTCATATTTTTACATCATTTGATAACCTCAACATGTGATCACAATTAGTGAACCTTAGTTACCTTAACTCTGAAAAATAAGAATAATATTGAACAACTGCCATCCTTGTGTGGATCTGCCTAAGTCCTTTATCTAAGGGAAGCACATGTCTGATCAATTTGAGAGCAGAGGTATTGATTGAATTTGCACGAAGGAAGTATAGATCAGTCTAACCTCAGAAAGATAAGAAATACGGAGGAAGAGACAGTAGGTATAGGAAGAAGAAACAGTAGTAGAGAGAGAGGGAGGACAGGAGAGTAGATGGTAGTCTGGATGTAGCAACAACATTATCGGCACGTTATCGTGTGGCTGCACAGTGAGTTGTATACGTGCATGTGCGTGTGGGCAGTTGTCTATGTGTGTGTGTGTGGGTTTGTGTGTGTGCTACCTGAGGTGGACTGTCTGTTCCTGCGGGGGGGAGCGGGTAAGGCGCTGGTAAGGGTCCGTGCCTCCATACAGATCCAGTGTGGACATACACAACAGGATGGTTTTCTGCAAGTAGTCCACCACTGCTAGGCCATTACAGTTCCCAAACGCCAAACTGGAGACACACACACAGACATTTTTCATTTATACGGAGAAAGGGTGCGTCATTCAGCTGAGATGATTTTTTGAATAGTATTTCTCCAGGTTATTCCCATTGACATTAAAGGTGCTACATGTAACACTATCAAACACTGGCAAATAAACGGTGACATTTTGGTGTAATTACTGTCTACGAAACCCTGTCTTTATCTCGAGCTGCTGTTTTTGAATATTAACACCGGATTTCCCATAAGCCCCATCACCACCTGCTACCACTGGCTGCTGTAGAGCCTCTGGTTTAACTGATCAAGAGAAACTCATTGGCAGTCAATGATTCTGTTTGTTTCCACACACAAAAGATGTTCCAGTGGATCAGACGCTGACCAGAATTAGATGATGTTGACAACAAATGGCTCTATGGTGGTTTTTCAATCCAGTAATCATAATAAAAAAGCCAAAACAAATGATGCAAATACATAAATGTCACTCAAATTTGCAGCTGAGCCAGTCAATCACTGCTGACCGGTATCTAAGACGCAGATGTCTGGTTCACTTTAAATCACTGTCACATGGTCAGATGGTTTAGGAGGCGACAGCCACCACAATGTCTGATAGGCTGTTTGTCATCTGGTCTATGTGAACAACAATTTCAATATCACAAACAAGATTTTGAATTTGAATACACATCACTCATATTACACTCAAAGACCAACAATTGAAAAAGCAGCAGTGGCCAAACCCTACGCGTATCCAGCCTTTCAGTATGTGCCACTTAAACACAGCTTGAGTCTTACTACACGAAATAAAAGACCGGGCAGCGCGACATTCCTTGATCAAAGCTAAAGGCTGAAAAAAATGCCAATAAAGAAAAAACTCCTGTTACAGGCCATTATCTGTGTTACTGTTACAACTTCACATTATTTAATGTCCGAACATAAGCAATTATCTTTTTTTAAACATAAGCTGTCTGTGAATGCCATAAAGGTGACCAGAGGAGACAGCCTTGTGCCTTTAGTTACCCCCCCCCCCCCTCCCCCACACACACACACCACAACACAGACTATATCACCCCTTGCTGCTAAATACCAATCAACTATGTGCAATATGTGCTATATGTGCAATATATATATATGCCGTTAATAACTGTGTAATTTATAACTGGCTGCTAATCCTTAGAACCGTTACAAGGTGTGTTTTTTTTGCATTTTGTATTTTGTAAATTGTGTAACTTGCTGCAGTTAAATACCATCAAACTATGTGCAATATGTGCTATATGTGCAATATATACATTATATACATATGCCATTAATAACTGTGTAATATATACCTGGCTGCTAAATCCTAAGAACTGTTACAGGATTTGTACTTTGGAAAGTATTTTTCTTTTACTTTTCTTTTTTATATTATATTTGTATTATATCATAACTTAGTACTTTTTTCTTAACATATGTAACATTAAGCTGTCTGTGGCTCTTTCCTGCTGTAACAATGCACATTTCCCCTCTGTGGGACTAATAAAGGTATTCTGATTCTGATTCTGTAAACATATGAATATAGCAGGGATGTAATGCCTTTTCAAATATTCTTGAAGAGCCTTTGGGTAATATATTTGTTGTTGCTGTTCACCAATTTGTTGTAGTTTAATACTTCCTTTGCCTGTTATATTACATGCAATTTCACCACTAAAATATGTCAGTGATCGACACATATTACATTCCGCTTGCATATAATGATCATAATTCATCAATACATTATTTACTTTAATAAAGTACAAACACAACTTGTGGGATGAGTGTTTTAGGTATGTGGGTTCAGGAAGAAACAGGGTATATGCAGGAATCCTGAAGTCAAATGTAATACCTTTTAAGACCTTTTTTAAGACCCTTTCCATACATTTTAAGACCTCATCGCCACTTTGAGTTTTAACCGGTTACATTGGCGACACACTTTACCTCACATTTACTATATACAGTATTGATTGTCCTTCCTCCTTATCTTCCAACCATTTGGACGCAAACTTGCATTTCCCCATAACGATGTTGTTTAACAACCGGCGTAAACGGACCTTTGCGCGCTATCAAGCAGTGAGCGTGCGATGTCCTGTTCAGATGACGTCAAATCCAACAGAATGCCATAAATAAACTACACAGTACACACTACACACCTACGCAATGATTACATTCAGGCACACTTTAGAATACAACCTCTTTGGACAATTTATATACTTATTGAAAACAAGCTACAAAATGTAATACCTTGGAAAATGCCGTTTAATACTTTTTAATAGCCTTCATTTTCGCTAAATTGATTTATCAACTTGTAATACTTTTTAAGACCCCGCGGAGACCCTGAGAAAAAACAGAACAAATGAAACAAAAAAAACAAATCAATTCCCACAATCTATTCAAGCTGTGAGTATCTTTAGAGGACAGAGGGAAATACTGCCCTTCCTTGAACCATATAGATCTTTTTTGAAAGAGCTGTGATTTTAATGGTTTCTGCCAACGGAACTTCTTTGACAGCAAACATATAAAAGCACTCTGAGTTCAGAAGGTCAATCAACTCAGACACGCATCACTTTTGAATTATAAAGGCTGAAATATATATGCAAATGTCAAATATTCCTGGAGTAAACACCAGGAGACAGACAGAAATTATGAGGTGTGGTTGGGTACAATCTCAGGGGTGCAATGTACCATTTTATAATAACACTGACAGCAGTGATAAAAGCTCAATGCGAGTCATTTCTGTGATCTAATAACTGCACTAGACTGTACCCATATCCCAATTTCCAGTAACTTTAAAGCCCTCACTCTTTATAAACACTCACCTATATTCATGAATAAATAATAAACACAAACATAACCAGTTGGTGTTATCTGCAGGTGTGTACTGCTCTTTCTACAGGGAATAATACGCACACTTTCATATGACAGATTAGCCTTTTCAACCTTGCATCACCATGTATCCTGTCGCTACTGCTCCTGAAAGCTGCTATTCACTGGCCAACACGCTGACCTTCACATACTTTATTTAGTGTAACATCTGGGGCCACAGGAAAGAAAGTGGGGTTGTTTTGGCTGGCAAAGGGTACATTTGCATGTCATGACACCTCAAACCGACTTTTAAATACCACCCTAAACCTGTGCATGGGGTCTATTACTCCACAAATATAAACTGAGAGATAGGCCAATGTAGAAAAAGTCACACGCAGGCAGATGGACGGAAATACAATACTGTGTGTGTTTGAGAGTCAGCGTATTAGCTGCTTTCGGCAGGTTGAACTTTTAACCACTTGCTGCCATCTGAAACCATTCAATGCAATGTTTTTTACAACTTCAATAAAGAAGACAAAGACAATAAAAAAACAAACCATCTTGGTCTCTAAGGTGTAATCCTGGTGACACTTCCTCTATCTGCTTTACTTCATATAGTGCAGCGCTGACAGCACTATAAAGCTGAAGGATGGTGTTAAGTTTAAGTTACTGTCGCAAAATAAAATAAGAAAAGATAGACAAAGCTTTGTCCTTTATATATCTTTACATCATGACTAGTTATAACAGGGATTGCCTTCCTGAGTGCGGACTAGCAAAGATATGTAATCAATTATGGACAAATGATGTAAGAAATGCCTTGCCATATTCAAAATTAGATACCTAGATAAACCAGCTGATTTGCATACTATATCTATATTCATGTTCAACTGCCTCTTATAGCACAGCTCCTTACTTTCCTCAAACATGCTGCGGCACACCTGTACCATTTTCAGGCGATTTGTAATCTATAAAAGAAATATATTATACAGGGTTTCAAAATGGAGCTTATAAATGGATACGTGGGCATGGTGTTGGGCAAAGAATTACGATCATTTATAACAAGATGCGTTGTATGAAGTGTGATGACGAATCAGAGTTATCTAGAGACCAGCAGACAGAGAGACTGACATTTATCTGCAGACTTACAGGCCATAGGCAGAGTTGATGTCCAGGCTGGTGATCTGTTGTGGAGGTTCTCCATCGACCCACAGCAGCTGGATGACCAGCTCTGCCTGGTAGCCAGGAGGGACCCTGACCATCCGCTCCTTCACCCTGAAACAGACATAAAGAAGAGTTTATTATTCATACAATAGTCAGTGAGAAAGAGACAGGTTTGGTGGAAATATGAAAAATCACTTTTAATGTGTAAATAAATAACTGTAAAGATCAAAGAATTCATAAAAAAAAAATATTTGTTTTGTCATTTGTTGCAGAAACTGTGTTGTATGAGAGGGGATCTCACTTAAGGCAGGGGATGGTGTCTTTGTTCCCCTCGGGGGTCTTGCTGCCAGGGCTGGCTGGGTGATGGTGGTGGGTCTGCGGGGAGTGGGAGCCGGACTCAGAGAAGCAGGGGTTGTTTTCATTGTCGGACGGAGAGATGACATCCTCCGACTCACACTGTAGGCGCACCTCCAATGACTGAGGATGATACAAAAATAGGGATTATTTACATTAGATCTTCTTTGGAAAGAAAACTGACAAGGCTAAGTTTAAGAGAATTTCAGAGAGGAGTTTGTGGCAGTGGCCTCATTTCTCATCATTTCTTTTACTCTGATTCTCCCCCCTCTCACCGTAATCTGAGTGTTGGCATCATATTTGCTGAAGCGATACAGAATGATGTGAGCTGATATGCCGACCACACAGAAGATGCGACTCTGGGGGCACCAGCTGACCATCTGGACAGCGAAGGGGTCTTCCTCCATCAAGTCAGCAGCCCTGCCTTCTACTGGCTTTGGCTTCTCAAAGGCTTTGGAGGTCTTCAGCTTGTACAACATCTGTAGTGTGACTGTAAGAAAACAGTTCATAATGGAGAATACATATTGAAAATACCAAAAAAGGCTGTAAACATGTTTCCATTAAATGCACTGAAGACTTGCTCTGTCATTGGTTGTGCAGGGAAGTTAAAGGATTTGTGGACTTGAGTCATTTATTGATTTATTTTATCATAAATATATGTTAAGTAGTAGAAACAAAGATGGAACAAAGAAGAAAATAAAGAAGATATTAGAAAATGAATGACAAAACATTACATGAGAAGCATGGTACAAAAACACAACCTTATTTTGACTTGGAAATACAGGACATTGAGGTTCAGACCCAATGTCCAATACAGCACAGAGTACACATACAAATAAAATGGTTTAATGTGTCCGTCTTTTTATCATGGAAGGTTATCATTCTTAATAACTAGCACGGCGAGATTCACGGACAACAGCTGTCAAATGTCTTTGCAAAGATTTTGACACATTTACATGCTGTTTTTTTTAGTGTGTATCCATCTGTGAAAGTGCCAAGTCCCTTATTGGTTGTAGACCATCTCATATGACAATGGCGCTTTTAATTAGTAGTGAGCTCAAAGCCCATGGCAAATCTGAAATGACTTACCCTGGGATTCATGAAACAATATTGTTTATTTGAGCAAGCTGTGTAACAAAAGCCTGAGATGAACACAATATGTCCCTTCGGTATAGCTCACAAACATGGACAGCTTAAAGAGTGGACTTACTTGCAGATGCGTCCCAAAACTTAATTGATCCATCAGCATGTCTAAAGAAAGAGGAAGACAAGATAATGTGTCTATTAGGAAAACAAGCTAATAAGCTTAATTACTCTGGGAGTTCATCAGGAAATGATGGTAAAGTGTAAGGCATTTAATGTTGCTGCTTGCTTTAATGGCAGATATATGTATCTTAGATCTTAAAAATCTGACAGGTGTTATTACTTATTTCAAATGTTAAACTATGCAGGGTTTGAGATTGCCTAGAAGCAGACAACTCCCAATGCACCTGTTGAGAAGAGGTTAAGATCCCTATCAAGCATATACATTTCTTTCCTAACAGCTTATGCTAATGGCCGCCATGTGTATGGACTTGCAAAGTCTCTCAGAACTATTCTTTCTGACTTACCCTGTGAGAATGATCTCTGGGTAGGTGTTGCAGCCTACTGTCCACAATCCTCCAGCAATCGGCCACTCCTGACACGGTAACAGAGAGAGTGATGAATCTTTTCAAAACCCAATGTCAATCATCTATTGTTCTTTCTTATAACGTAAAGATTGAATGATATTCTAAAACATGTATTCCATTAGAAAACACAGAATGATCATGCTGAGGATTTTAGCTTTGGTTTCCAACAGCACACGCTTTCATCCACAGATACAAAACTGATTACACTGAGTCATACGGTAATGATAACCCATCATTTATTTCAAGTTCATTGCAGTCATTATTTTGTGCAATTGAACATTTTTCATGAATTGTGAAGATTCAGTAACCTTGAGAAGGAGTGATATGAAAACACTATTATACAACCGCCTTTATGACTTCTATTGTAGTATCTTTCAATAAAGTATAAAGAAATCACTCGCTAAAAGTTTTTTTTAATTATCCTTTTACTTTTGACTTGCTCAGGCACTCACATCTCCCCTCCCCTACCTTTTGGCTGTAGCCGGTCTTCTTGTGTTTAGCTCCTATGGAGTAGAGGATGGGGATAAGGTCGGGCGGACAGTCCGCAAAATAGGCCGTGCAGGTGACTGGAGACTCGTGGATGTCCATGGGGTAAGGATTCTCACAGACAGGGTAGCTGCAAAACATGTGAATTTGACATGTTTTTGCATTCAAGATTCAAAATCCACTTTTTGATGTGCACAGTAGCCACAGTAGTTCTCAATTCCTAGGCGCCGCCAACAGTGCAACAGACTATCATATAATTAAGACCTAAAAGAGTAAGTGAAACATATTAGACAGAACTTTATTAAGGGATACAATTGTGCAAGTAAAATGCACAAACAAGTCAACTTTGTACAAGATGAGGTAAAACAGAATGTAACATTAAATACTGTACAGTAGAATGATTACTGTGTGTTGTTAATTTAATACATCAGAGGAATACCCATATAGCTCTATGAACCTTTATGTAAACAAATTACAATTGCAACTGAATTATGGGTTGGACTGACTAAATGCATCACAATTAGCAAAACCTCATCTTTATCAACACTTTACCTCACTTTCATTCAAGCTGCGGCTGAGGTAAAAGTGACACTACTATGTAATTGCATAGAAATATAAAAGGGGTACGGTTCTGTACAAAATGTATAAATGACATTACAAAAGTCCTTGATCAGTGAACTTAATGAAGTGGGGGTTACTTTGTATTTAATCTACACCCTCACTCACTTAGTTATAATTAAAATGTCAACTTGATTAGCAGCTAATCAATAAACTGACAATGTGGACACAATCTTGATAAGATAGAGGTACATTAAGCCATCAGGAGATATTTATATCTAGCAGTTTTAATTGGGTTACCTAATTAACTAGGCAACCTCATTTAAAACCTCCTACTTACTATATAGGCCTCATTTGTTTTGTGTTGCTGCAATTTCGCTGTATTCCCTGGCCTTAGGTGTTAGTCTGCCACAAGTGCACCATATCAGCATTGAGAGTAATGTGACATGTCTTTATTCTCTCCCTAAAGTAGAGATTTGAGTGACAGGTTAGATCCTTAACTCTTTTATGTGTTATTGAATGTAACATAGGGCTTATGTATAAATGATATAAGTCGTATTTTACCCTTGTATGAAGTCAGGTGATATCATTTCAATTCAAAAGTGGATTTTGATATCCGTCACAAGCAGCTTAGCAGCTTTAAGGTACTTTTTGTGTGGAACACGTACTTGCTCTGTGTCAGATCCACCACGATTAAGTCCTTCTCCAAAAGCACCACCACTGCATAAGGCTCCTGGACCTCTGCGGGATATAAAGCCAAGCTGTCAGGTTAAGGCTTTTTCCATACTCACATCAGTTAGAACCACACAGGATAAAACAATCTTTGGAGTGTTGTTAGGATACTGTTTCATTTATCTACAGCCTTATTTGAACCTCAGAAATGTTTTAAAACCAAAACAAACACACGTTTCTGACTCTAAAGTTGAATATTGTACATGTGAGTCACATTCACTGAATAGCTGAGCGTTGTTTGCAAACACTTGCTGCTGTTTTGGAGACATTTACATAATCTTCTTTAGGTATGAAATATATTCAACCTGAATCACAAAGAACACACATTTGAAAACACATTTGAAGACAGAATGATTTTCATCTATCAGAAGTAGAGAAGGGCTTTGAGGACTTCGAACATGTCTTTAAAAAAAGTGTGAGTTTTTCTTGAGTGTCAAATCTTTTGGATCTGTTACTTTCAGTGGCGGCTCCAGAGTATTTGTGTTGGGTAATCTATGGTAGGGCTAACCCATACAGTGGTGGGGCTCAAGTCAGTATTTGCAATGTAATTACATACACGCTATATCGCCCCCCTTGACAGTGAAACGCCACGCGTGAGGTTTAGATTATTTCCCTGTCTCAATCCAAATTGAACTGTATGAAATAAAAAGGCACATTTGTCTTGTAGTAAATAAAAAGGGCGACCTGGAGCCAATCCTGCAATTTCCCCACAGGTGAAAGAGTTGACATGCTGAAAACCCAACCCCTGCAGGGGGGTCTGGGGGGATTCTCCCCCAGGAGATTTTTTTAAATACTAACATAAAATACACATTCTGGTACTCTCTTGAGAAGAAAAATAAATAAATCTATTACTACATATTTAAAAAAATGAATGCCATTTTTGTTTTTTGTGACTTTGTTCTGAAAGCTGAACCTGCTGCTCCTCACAGAGAGAAGAGGGAAGAGGCTGTGTGAATTACATTGTGGATAAGGGTGGATAGCCCCCATTGTTCTGTGTGTCAAAATGAAAGACAGCCCACACACCTATCAATCATCAAACCGTGGGGTCTTATTTCACGTAATGTTGTATCTATGTATATAGAGATGTACTACTGCTAAAATATTCTCCGTCGGGACTTCCTGCACGCCGTTATCGTGATTCTGATTGGCCAGAAGACATTATCAAAGATGTTTTATTGGGAAGACGATCACTACGTGACAAAAGTTTTCAAAACCGTTTCTAGTCTTCGGTATTTCCAGACAAGTGGCTACTGAAATCAATTTTACTAACTGCTGTCTGTGCAATTTACTCCGCGCGAGATGACGGACTTTATTTAGCTTACTTTAACATCATTTTTCATGGTGGGGCTAAGGTGGGGCTAAGCCATTTCTTGGTATGGCTGTAGCCTACCCCAGCCATACCCTGGCGCCGCCACTGGTTACTTTGTAACTGTTTTGTCAGATTTCATGGTTAAATCAGCAGAAAAACTCCAAACTTGTACTAAATCTGGTTCGCTTTAACACTGAGCTAAACCCAGAAGGTACGACCCGTTCTATCATTGTCATCGCCTTCACTCACCATTGTTGTAAGGAGTCTCGCAGAGTGCCATGAACTCCACTATAGGATAGTCCATCTCCAGCACGGTGATGGCCTTGCCGTGCATGATGGTTAGCGTTGGCCGCCGCCCTGCCTTGTCATACGAAAGCCCCCCCGAGAAGATGACAAAAGGCTCGCTGTAGTGGTGAAAGAACAGAAATGAATAAATCAACTACTTTAGAAAATATTATAAAACATGTATTTGGATTTAAATTACAGTTCTATGCCAATAACCATAAGCAAACAACTAAATCAAAAAAGTTAGTAAAATAATGAAAAGATCAAATGTATACTTTTGTGTTTTGCCTCTTTTTTATGTGATTTTAAACTGCATATTGTATTTCAACTCACATGTGTTATTTCCCCTACTACTCCCCATGAGTAAATTACAAAATAATATTTTGCCAAAATCACAGAATCGTTTTGTTTCTGTGAGTGTTTTATGATTATTAACTTGTCAAGAGCAACTTTCTTTTTACTTCACTAATTGATGATAAAAACCACAGGATTTCCAGTGATTATAAGCAATTTAGAGTTTAGTTCCACCGGTACACATAATGAACTCATGCCGTTTTAATATTCAGTTAAAAAGCACACACCTGCTCCTCGAGGTCTTGTACTCCACTTTGAGGATGGGTTTACAGGACTCCTTTCTTCCATCCTTCTGTATCTTTCCTGAATTAGAGGAAACATAACAAGAATGGACAACATTATATAAGACAAAAACACTGAAAATGAAACATGTGTTGCCATGTAAGGAACTGTTTGGGTCACGTTTCTGTGTAACACTGTAGTGATCTGCTTTTATGTGTGACAGATCAATTGCTCAAATCAGAAGAACACTGTAGTTCATGTGAATAAAAAAAAACACAAGATAAGAGAATTAAAGGGAAACTGCCACCTGACAACAGGAAGTTATGTCCTTGACAGAAAAAGGACTGCCAGGTTTTAAACAATCCAGTAAGAAAACACAAAATACAATATTTCTCACAATATACCAACAGAAGATTTACATTTTTTTTATATTAACATACAACTCTGTTTCAAGAATCTTCTTTTCTTGCATTTTATTTAGCATAAAACCTCCCTAACGGCTATATTCAATGAATCAATGTGACACTTAAAGCTCATGATTATACAGCTGTAATTATATTGTAAGTTGTAACAGTGACTAATATGTCTCATTTTACAACAAACCCTGGCACAGTCAGAAAATATAGAGTGCTCTCCCGTATCTTGTCAATTTTCATCTGTACTAACAAAGGCAGACATTGTTTTGTTTCTTTTCTATTTTCCTCTTTCATTCTGATTACTGTGAACTGTGTTTCCACTTCTTTTCAGGGAATGGCAGATGATTATCAGAGTTAGCGCATTACAGAGAATGATTTTTTCTCCTGCTTCGCATAATGAAATGATTATGCCTTTGATATAAAGAGGACGTCTTTCAGCTGGAAGCCAGAGGGACCTTGGGTTTTAGCTCATAGGCGCAGTGCTCTTAACAAAGCCCTTTTTTAAAGTGAAACAACATGAAAGGAATAAAGTCTTCAAACTGGGAGACTTTAAAAATAAAATACAGACATTTCAATTATCGCCATCACACTGGATTATACGGGTACCGGTAACACAGAGGGAGGCCGAAAGTCAATCATTGGCACAAATCGTCCACATTGCAACGATTCAAAGCCAGTAGATCAGCACATTGTCCCTTAAGAAAACAAAAAAATGTAATGTGTGTGGGAGAGAAACAACCTATGGAGGGAACTTGGGGATTTTAGCCTTTGAAGACCATTTACATGCACAAAAACCTATATTACACACTACAGGAAAGGGAACACTCCCAAAAGCAAAATAGAGCTCCTTTAAAGTGGACCTATCATGCTATATTTAAATGATATATTGTAGGGCCATACCTACAGATCATGCATTTTAGCCATGCCTCATTTCGCTCTATGTGCTGTTTGCTGTCTACGGGTCTGATTCTGCTGACCACGCCCCCCTGCAGGAGAGGTGAGACGTGCACTGATCAGCTGCTGGGCTGTCAGAAGAGGGGGAGAAAAAGAGATCTCCGTCCTGCGTGTTTATATTATATAGAGTCGTTATTCATTTGTTTTAAAGCTCAATAAATAACAAAGAAGACCTTTGACCGGCACTTTTCTAATTTTGTCCGGAAGATTTAAACTTTAACGGACATTTTGACCGGCGAAAGAAACTGAAACTGAAACTCTGCCGCACGGTCCCCTCGTTCCTTGGAAGAAGCGGAGAGGTGGGTGTTTGTCATCTGCTGGTGGACTAACCGGAGAGAATTACAGTGCTTGCCTCGACGGGGAGGGATTGCATTGAATTAAAGCAGCGGGAGCAAACGCTTGCCTCGGGGAGGGAGAAAAAAAGCCACAGCGGAGAATAAACAGAAGGATAACCATGGTAACTATGGGCGGGAAGTCTTCTTCGCTGCTTTTGTGGCAGACTACAGCGCCACTTACAGGCCTGGCATATGTACTACAGCGTCTCCAGCGCTTTCGAGCGGCAATGGCCGGCCGTAGCGCCACCGTCCTGACGTCAGTAACGTGTTCAAATCTGGATCAGTTTTTATCAGATCCGTTGCAGCCCCTTTTTTAGAGATTTGGGTATGGAGGAAAATAGAGAGGGTTGTGTTTTCTGACACTTGGTGAGTTCCCTGGAACACCGGGGACACATATTCATGTATAAAAGACGTACAAAAGTGCATTTTGCATGATAGGTCCCCTTTAAGTCAAAATAAAAAGTTTTGTCATTATATGATACAATTTTGGCGACATTATATTTTCTACATAAACTTGTAGAAAGTGTGATTTTGAGCTGTGCTTCTCATGCGAAAAACTCTATCAGCCAGCCAAAGCTCTGGGTGACGGTGACTTATCATCACAGATAAGGCTCAAAGGTGCTGGATTACACACTGAAATGTTTCAGCAGGAAAAGGGAATATCAGGAATAAACTATTGTAAATGGCCAAGCCTTTTAATTGGACAAGCACATGGCTATACATACATGTAAGATGTGATTCCAATCTCACTATATGACCATTATAGTTGTATTTACAAAATGTATCGCACCCTGTCTATTATAATGTCATTTTTTGTTTCCACGTTTTCAGTTCAGTCTTTCCTTTTTAAATAAATGTCACCGCTTAATGTTCTGCTCTCAGCATCGTTGGTGTCCTTTCCCCTTGTGGACATCGCTCTACTCCTCCTTTCCTCTAGGTTTTACAGTAGCCCACATTCATTCATGCAAGCACTTAAAAAAAACACTGTTTGTTCCTTTCCTCAGGGACACAAATGACCCACAGCCTTGAATGCTGTCTTCCAATCCTGACACACAGTGTTTGTTAAAACTAAAGCGACAAAGAATACAATAGCTTCTAATAGGCAAGTTATAGTTCAGACTTTTCTTTTCCGTCAAGTATTTCCAACATGGCAATAAAGATAACAAATATTTCCACAGTCCTTTTAGTTTTCTGGTTTTATTTGAAATCAATAAATTATTAAATAATCATTATACATACAGTATATATACATATACTAATAGTTTACTTTGAAAGGTGCATAGACTCCCTATCTCTGGTTAGGTAATTATATGCAAAATACAAAAAAATATGATAACGTTGATGAATCGTTAAATCATTAAAATTACGACTGCTGCTGATTTATTGTCATGACAAAAACATACATGTCTTTATGTATACAAAAAGGGATGTAAGGCTGGATGATTTATATGGCTTATGGCCTTTTTGCTCATGGTAGTGCAATGATTTGATGTTGCTCCCACAGTAAGTTCAGATCGAGGTCTCCCTCTAGCTAAGATGCCTGACCGAGCATGACCGGTGACATCAGCCTCCAGGAAGCAAACGCCACGATTACCAAGTTAATGTGAGCACAGGGATTTTAATGAGAAATCCCAACTCTCTACAGATGTGATGGTTGTGGTGGTGTGATAACTAGCTTACAGTGCAAGAATCAGCAAGGTTTTTAAATAATGTAATATAATAAATGTGTTTATTTACTACTTTAAAATAGGGTGATTGCACTACTACCAGGTGATACCATGTTTACTGTCTCTTATTCACTAATGTTTCAGCTTTCTCTCCCCTCGCTCTTCCCCTTCCTTTCACTGTCGCCCTGTGTGATACCACATATCTGACACATATCTGGCAAATAAAGCATCTGCTGGCATTTAACCATGCCATCAGGCCTGTTGCCCCGTTCCTGTCATTCAATCGCCCACGTCCTTCCCTCTTGCCTTCCTGTTTTGTGATTTTGCCTCAGATCACAGCTAACATCAAGTGACTATTCATCACCAGAGATATGACAAGGTCAGGATACCCTGCCAGTGCACAAAGTACGCCAGAGGAGGAGACAAACAGACGGGGGATCAGTCAGAGGCAGAGCTCATGGAGATGCATGTGGTGTGAAAGTCGTTCATCGAAACCAGTGTGCCAGTTTTCTTACCTGACAGCCAAATTATGGCCGTGACAAAAAACACAGAGTCATTTTTATATTAGCTTTGTCATGTATTCTAAGTGCTGATACCTGGCAATAAGATAGGTTGAAAAAGACATAGTTGGTGGCTGGTTAGATTCAGAAAAAGCATTTGTGTATGTCACGTTAAAACACCAGGGAACAATCCCTTTATTATTAACTAAACCTTTCTGTTACAAATTGCAGTTATTACAGCTGACAAATCTGAAATACTTTTCAGGCAGTAAGGGGTACAGTGCAATTTTACCTTTTTCATTAAGGCTTTTTTTTTTGAAGAAAAAGCCTTTCTTTGGGTACACAGGTTAAAGTAATGTTTTTTTCCTTACATAAAACAGAAACATTTGCATAGACTTTTCTTTTTGCGGCTGCTTTTAATTGATATATTCATATCTCACACTGCACTGTAACCTTTATTCTTGTACCTGTGTTATTCATGTTTTATTATCTTTGCTTTTAAATGAGTGTTATTTAAATGCCATTTTATAATATGTGTCTCTTAATGTCTTTCATTTATAGTAAAGCACTTTGAAGTGCCTTGTGTTGAAAGGTGCTATATAAATAAACTTGCCTTGCCTATATAACAATACAAAACATGAAGCTGGATTTATTGTCTGCTTAGATTTCCTGAAGGTGTTTGAAAAGCAACCCATGAAGTATTCATTTTAGCTTAAATACATGAAATTAGAGGTTTATGCTCAAGGATTTTCAATTTGTGTTGCTGAATTGCAGTTGCTTACAGCCCAAGGTCCACGTTTTTACAGCAAAGGATTATCAAAGTTTCATTTTGTTAAGTAACTAAAGAAAAACATGTACACTGTGTGTGTTCTCACCATGAGGGAAGGTGACCTGGAATGGCTTGATGGTGTTTCTGAGGTTCCACATGGACAGGCTGCCGTCTGAGTGACTGCACATGAACTGCTTGCCTTCGTGATGCCAGCCGGCTGAATGGATGGCCTGGACAGATTAAACATTGGAAAAACATTAAAACAAGCATGTCACCATATTCAAGATTAGTTTCAGAATCTCTTATTTATTTGAATAAAGGGACAAAGGTTAAAATGCCTTTTCCAAATACAGAAATGTAGTTTATAAGCCAAACATCTGCCAAACAACCTGTTGCTCTATTACACTCCTATACAAAATACTATAGAAGCCACTCTCTGCGGTTCCTATGTAGAAAGAGAAATATCCTAAGGTTAGGGTTGTACTGCAAGTAACATAATAACAACATATCCACAGGGAATTGATCTGCTTTATATGTATGGCTCTGTGGCAGTGTTCTAGCTTTGAAAACTGACTTTCAGTCCTGTGATGTGCATGCTGAGACACCCCAGTTAAGTGCAGCGAGAAATGATGCAATTTTTGAGCCAAAACAACAATAACAAAGCAGTAATGAGGCTCAGAGCAGAAGCCTGCTTTCCTTTCTTTGCCCTGCACTCACTGTGTATCTGATGTTGCCTTCTAAGCACTCAGTGTACTCGTCGCACGATTCATCAAACAGCCACAGAATCTATAATCTGCCTATTTAAACCTGATGCTTCCTTTTTCCTGTCATTTCAGTGTTATTTCAGGACCCTTTACACCAACACCCACCACTGTCAAAGCCATGTTCCCAAGAGGAACCATTGGGGTCATTAGGAGATATGTCACAGAAAACCAACAAAACATATTTACACATTCTCTGCTGCACACAATGTGAACATCTACAACAAAAAAGAAAATCCTGCTTCAACTTTCTTTTGGCCAAACATCAGAATAATGTAGTTATTGCCCTTGCTGGAGATAATGCACATCATTAACATTGCTTCTACATTTAAATGTATGGGGTGTATCCTAGAAAGAAGACCTCCTTTAAAACATATTTGACTGCTTGTTATGTCAAATGCATAGAGGTTATTATAAAGTTATGCTGTGAGGGCATTCATTTGGCATTACATTATTTTAATTAATCTTTCCCAATATGCACCAGCTTTCAGTATTTCAAATATGTGATTCAGACTTAGGTGCATGACCTTAAATGTTTTAATGTGCAACATTTTGTTTCCAGATAAGGTTAATGTCAAGTAAAGCCAGTTCACAATTTCAGATGTTTTTTTCCGCTTTTTAGTGAGCGTCAAGCCTACACAGTTAGTTTCCTTCACCAACTGTACATTTGAAGCAGTGCTTTTTGAAAAAATAAATAAATTGGTGAATCCGAACCAATGCTAAATAGAAAAGCCAAACAAGGTAAAACGATACAGACCATTGTAATGTTTAATTTATCAGCAGGAGCATATAAAGGTTTCCAATTACACCAGAAAGAAGCTATGACGCTGTACTTCCTCCCTTTTGTCTTTGGGATATAGTAGTTTTCTGTGTACTCTGCTGAAGAGGTGTGAGACATGATGCTGTGCTGTGCTGGAGGTGAAGCACATAAAACCACAATGAATGTGAGCAGGATGTGACTCTTCACAGGAGATGAGACAGGAGATGAGAGGTGGCAGCGGATGCAGAGGATAAGTGCCATGAGGTGAAAATGTCTATATGACAAATTGGTTTTGTGGCCACAGGGGTTAAAAAAAAAAAGGATTGAATAACAGTGGTGTGTACGGTTGAGAGTGATCGTGTCTGTCTGTGTGTGTGCATGTAATGGAAGCTCTCAAACTGACCTTGGATGCAATGTCCAAAGACATACTGTACACATGGTAAACAATTATAGGCCATTCCATAAAAAGTAATCTAGTTTTAGTTTACACTGTGCACTCCAATTAAGGAGGCTTTTATAGCGGATAATGGCAAGAAGAGGAAATGCAATGTGGACCTACTTAGCACCTGTAAATAAACTGCTATAAAACAAAATGGAATTAATAAAAGAGCTTTATAATCACTGTAATTAGTTTTGTTATCAGAGGGCATTATATGTTACGTAGTATGTAAAATGATGTGGTGAGAGCAGCTGTAAAAAGTGTTTTTGGTTAGATACCTGTATTAATGTCTGTACTTAACACAAGCTTAAAAGGTTTTCACGTTTTGTTCTACAACATAAACTATGTCAGTTAATACCCCACTTGTAAAAGTCAATAGAACTTATTTTCTGCAATATTTAAAAATCTATAAGGTAAAAACATCATTGCTTTTAGTCAAGGGTTCCCTTGCAATGCTAAATTGTTGGGGGCCTACAACAACACATGTTTGCTGCACCTACTCTTTACATGTTCAAACCTTATCAAATGACAACTTAAGAGTAAAAACACACACAGGTTCGTCTTAAGACACCATGAACACAATCTCACTATATGTTACGCTTCAATGATGAGTGGGTGACGTGGCAACAGACGCAGTCGGCACCTGTTTGAGCTGACTGTGCTGCACGAGCTGTCACAGGCAGCTTGTCCTGGTATGAGCACGCCTGAGTCCTCCAATTACTGCTTCGTGTTAAAAAAGCAGTAATTGGTTCACAGGCCAAGCAGCATAGGAATACAGCACTTGAGGACACCTTTCAATAAAAATAGGACAAGTTGATGCAACATGAAAAGTATCCTCCATTTTGTTGATATTCAAATAACAGGCGGATAAAAAAGCTCTTCATGTCACTGAATAATATGATAAGAGATGGGAGGAAGATGAAAAGATTAGACGGAGGCTGTTAAGGGACCAGTATTCATACATTCACCTTTTCAAGTGGTTTCGGGCGGTACAACCGGGCGGTTTCGGGCGGTACAATTACGGCCAAATCATAATCATGATTACTTTGACCAATGTCATATTAAACTTCTTCAGCTGAAATGCTGCTCTCTGTTTTAAGATACTCTTCCACTCTGGACTGCAGTCGCAACATTGAGTAAGCTGAGCTGAGCTAAGAAATCAAATGTCAATATGGCAGGAGATCATGTTTTGAACTTTTTGAACCAACCAAGAATTGAGAGTTTGGTTAGTTTTTTGATTAATTGTGCTGTGACAGGTGTAGGATATTTTTCTATAATGTAGGAGGTGCATCCAATGACTTTCCTGACAACCGTCTGTCCGACTTAACACTTGGAAGGTGTTTTTGCTGAGGAACCATCCAAGTGCAATGTCATGTGTGAAGTTGTTTGCATGAGCAGTTCATGAGAAATCTGCAATATTGAAGGCAAAGCAAATGGTCTATTGCGAAAAGGCACATTTGACATTTAAAAAAAGTTTCCTAGAAATTGAAAGGAAAAAAGGAGTGAAACAACTCGTTGTACAGGTATATCTCGACAGTACATTTATACTCACTTCAATCATGTACCCCCCTCTATGGGAACATGGCTCATTTTTGTTGAAATGTCTAGTTTTCTTCTCACTAACTCAACTGCGGTTTCCTACATCCTGCTGCTATAACAAGGGATCCCCACAGAGATTGCTGAAATTGAACAAAATCTCTACGAAAATAATGACCCAAGAAACACCAACCGCTGCTACAGTAAACGTATCCACTTTGATGTCAGAGTGACATGGATAAGAAAACCTGAGCACATTTTTCTTTCTTGTGAAAAGTGGAGCTCACCTCATCGTAGCAGATTCTGAAGTCGGCCTTCTTGCCCCGCAGGTCCCACTGTACGATCATCCCGCTCTCAAACCCTATAAGCAACTGGGGAGGGTTCACAAGGAATGGGAAATAAAGAATATGAAAGGCATTTTTAATTATGTTTTTAAATATCAGATCACAGCACAGCCTGCACTCACGGTGCCAATTTAATTGATATCTTGCCCTCTTTGCTGTAGTGTAGTGGAGCAGTTTGCCTGTGGCACCCGAAAGAATACGTGTCCTCCTTTTCCTTCTTCCTTTTTGAAGTCTTTACTACTCACTACAGTCTTATTTATAAAAAGTTGCAGAGCTAGCCTGCTTGTGTGTTTTGTGATTGGTTGGGATGGGAGGTATGATTCCTAATGCATGTGTACTACTACGCACAAAGACTATTTTCCACCTGCATGGGTCTGCATTCAGCCAATGATTTGCAGGAGATGTCAAAGGAGATTTAGAGTTAAGACTAACAGAGTACGTCAATTAACAAAACGACTTCCTGCTATATTGATGCCAGAATGTTTTCTTTACTACTGTCATGTAAACAAGGAGCGATCACTGGCCTTTTGTTGTCTTTGTTAGCATTTATCAATTAGCCAATGCACCTTCAAGGTTTCAATCTCAGTTTCATTTCATTTTAGATTTAAACACATATAGACATTTATTGAATGTATACAGAACCTATTCAGACAAGTACATAGAATGTTCAAACTACTTTCATCCTTCATAACATCAACACACACACGCATACACATACGATCTCCTCCACATGCCTTCTTACCCACACGAGTGACACACTTATGTTCTATAATACACTGTAGATCAAAACAGCCATCCATAGACAGGCAGCTCCCACATGCACTAACATTGAACAAATGATTGTACACGCATTCACGCACACACGGACACACACGGACACACACACACCACACCATTAAGAATGGAGAGCAAAGTTGACACAATCTGATCACAGATCACACGAGATGGGGAGTGATGTAACCTCTAAAGAGAGTGGAGAAAACCGCTCTCCTGCTCAGAGGAAACACTGTGTGACATCTCAAATTGTAGGACAGTAAAGCCAAAGGCAAGTGAGGTTGGAAAAAAGGTCCCCCTCATAAATTCTGCAAGCATTAAGCTTTACATTAGTAACACTAGCAGTCATGTTAACACCAGGATGTCCTGTCAACAAATGCCTCCGCATACAAGCATACATATATATAGTATATCCCTTAAAGGTATGTGGTATGTGGATTCAGATCTACTTCCAAATGTCATGTATTCTTATTTAAACAGATGCAAAACATTTGTATATCTACTTATTGGTCGTAATTAGGAAGCTGGTACTGTAGGCTATTTAGTTATCGAAACAAAATTAAGGACAAAATGCAAAAAGGCAGAAAGGTATGGCATTGTGCGACAGAGGCTGCACACCCGTTTCTATGTCTCACAGCTTGTCAAGTCTGGTTTCACACAGAGGCAGCTAAATCCATTGGGAAAATCGATACGGTCCTCAATGCCCTCTCTTTTACAGCTCCTTCGTACCTAGCACTTTTCAAACCAATCGGATTCCAGGAGCAGCTTGACAGTGAAATACTCTACTCTGCTCAAAGGATATTACCTGCAAGTCTCTCACGTCGTCAGTGTCTATATGTGAATACAGCAACACAAGGAGAAGTACACTGTATAGATCACGGCAAGAAGAAAGAATACACCGGAAAGGCAGAGGGGAAGTATAAAGGACACTTAAGTGACGGAAAATGTATAGGCAGATTTAACTAAAGGCAGGGAAGACAGGAAAAAAGGGAAGCCTGTATAGTTTGTGCTACACAGACTGTGTGCGTCAGGAGAACCAGCAAGTGTTGCGTGTTCTTTATCTTACCTTGCCTTCGTCCTTTGGGCAGTCACTCAAATGAACCACAGGGCCTGGATGAGTTTTAGTTGATCTGTGACCAAAAAAGAAAGAAAGTGAGAGTTGAAAAAGACAGCAGCAGTAATACAGCGACACAATACATACATTAAAGAGTACATGTAAGTAGAGAGTTTTACTTAAGTCACAGTTGGCCGTTTCTGCGATTGTATCTTTGTTCTGAGCGCAACATTATGCAATTGTTGAAACAAATATTTCCTTTGCCGACAACCCTAACCCTAACCCTATAACAGGTAGGGATTTTAAACATGATGATATCAAAATACTTGTATGTATGTGTACTGTATGTATAGAAATGATGAGCATTTCAAGTTAAAAACACTATCTAAAGCATTGGGAACTATTTGATAATTATTTCTTCCCCCCCACTGCGCTGCGGGCAGCTGATCAGTGGGAAGAGAGACAGATTGGGGAAATACAGCAGACATGTTTCCACATCTTACTTTGTAAATTATGAGGTTCTGTTATTGTTGGAACAGTGGAGAGACAAGACCGTTTTGGTGAGTTTTATTTGGCTCTTTTAGACTTTGAATGTGTGTGTTTGACGATAAACCACTGCTCAAACACTTCTCCCAGCTGAATCTACAGGTGGCGGGCTCCCCACAGACACACACCTGAACCCACTGAAAACAACCAAACTGAACGTTGCCACACTAATTTCCCCCGAGTCTTTGACAGTAAAAGCTTTCTAAAATGTAATATTGTAACACTAAAAAAATGTTTACTCATGGATTTGTCATCAATCACACAACTATATATAAAGTACAGTATAATGTTGCATTGTTTGAAGTATATATGTAGCGCATAACAAATTGAGACCACGGAGGGATCAGGAAGAGCTGCACAAAGAGCTCCACCTCTTTGTATTCTTAAAACCCAGCAAGATGGAACCCTTGCTGTTTTGAATTATGCAAAGTCAATGCTAATCCTCGCTCTTACTCAACACGTAAACATTACCATCATGTCGCAGTCACAACCTGTTCTAACTTTGACTGCAACATTATCCTCACCAAGAGGAAAACATGGCATGGAAATGTATTTTTTCACTAAGATAATGACAAATTATACAAAAACAGAAAGGGATGGGGTGTCTTGGTAAAGTGATGAGATGTTTTCCCCACCTAAAGCTATGAAATAATTTTCATCGCCATTGTCCACTTCATCTCGGAGCCTAACAAGGGCCACTTGTCACCAACGCACTTCCCTGCAGCAGCCACAGTTCTGATATTTCCGCGCCAGGGCTGTAATGTGAGCTGATCTGGGAGGCTGAGGTGAAGTGTGACTGACACGTTCAGATGGGCTCGTTTAGTTATGCCTGCTGCTGGAGTGTGATAAAACCACGCTAAGCTCTCAATACAGTTCTATTCTGCAGTTAACGTAGTAATAAAGCCAAGGTATCATCTAACCATCCGCTATGCACAACACCTGTCCAATCACTGGAGTGCCACAATGGGGGAATGCCAAGAGCTAATCTTGCTACCACAGCCAGCCAGAGCAAATAATGCACTAAGCCGGAATAACATTTCTGATTCAACATGCATGTGCACTTTTAACCCAAGACTTTTTATTGTACTCAAACAAACCCACAACACACCCAAGCAGACGCACTGTTCCATGGATGATGCTGGCTTCATTTTGAGTCTTTGAGTATACAAGGAAGTTATTAAGGTGCTTGAGAGGAAACGTTCACAGAAGATATTGAATTTGGGATAAAGAAGTATGGGACTAATGGCAAAGGCTTGCTTTTGTGTTTGGAAGGCCATTTCCTTCTGTTGAAGACAGGCTTTCACCCTGTGAAAGTGAATGACTGACTTATGACTCCTGATCAAGTTTGGCTTACAGCTGACAAGGCTGTCTTTGAAAGGCTCAAAAAGGGAAGGAGAATATTTTCAGAAATAAATATGAATGAAAACACTGATAAACGGTGTTTGGCTCTGCTTGCAATGGAACAGAAATATATTATGTGATTCCCTGAGGCTATATAGCGGAGGAAAACTCTTATATATATTATTTAAAGATGGGGAGTGGTTCTGCTTATACATAATACTGTAGGTAGGTATAGTAGTAGAAAATACACTCACTGGATATTGTGCATATATAATACTTTAAAAAACATTTATGTACTGATCACACTCGTTTAAATGGTGTACTTGAAACATATCACATCACTTTAAAGTTGGTCAACTGAGAATAAAATACTTACAAGGAACTTTCCAGACTGGAATTTGATTAGAACAATATCGTAAAACAAGTACTGTGGATCCAATCAGAATGCCAATTATCTAGTTTGATTTGATTTCTGTCTCTGTCAAGTATGGTCTCCAAGTATTTGAGGTGATGATTGGGATGTTTCACACCATGAAAATATGCAAGCGAAATGAAAATGTTGTGCTAGTGAGATGTTGTGGTTTTAGGCCAGCTTTATGAGATTTCACTGTCTTCCTAGTGTCCCTGTGCTGGTTTGCCAATGATGTCACCAGATCATCTGAAGGATAGGGCCAAAGAAACACTGTAAAGGCCCCTACTTGTTGGCTAGTTTCAATGCCAGGGGAAAGAGAAACCTGGGATGTGTTTTTATTGAAGTCATCCAGAGATTGACTCCCAAGGCTGTTTGAAACCTTAAACACAAAGACACCTTGAGCTCAAGCAGGACCAGCGGAGCCATGGCAACCCATCACGGTTAGAAAAGAGTAAATAATCAGCACGACAGATGAAAAGGAGGGAGGCAGGAAATAACATGTCGGCCGCAGGGACCTGAAGGACATGAAATGTTCGAATTGTATAGTGTGTGCCTTACACACTCACAAATACCTTAACTCACCTGTTTTACTGTGATGTCTTTTAGAATGCACCAAACTATCATTAAATGTCCAATAAAATATCTGTGCAAGTCCAAAAATCTAGTAGTAACAAAATATGTGCTGTTTATTGTGAAACTGCGGCAAGAGTTGGATTCATGTTTTTCTTTGGAACATCAGCCAACACTAAATCACTTTAAATCTTATAATGAGGTTTTCCTCCTTCATCTTTCATCCTTTTTCCAGACCTAATCTAAAACAGAGTATATCATTTATTAAGGGAGACTTTCATTCCCTGTTCTGACGACTCAATGAATCATAACATTTATTTTAAGGATTGGCAGCGCGTCTGGCTTACAAGACATTGTTTCTGAAAAGACGGAGAGAAAATTAAATAACATTTTGGCATCTCAGCTATGTCAGGCTTTTTGTTCTATCGAGCCTCTAAAATAGGGGCTGATTTCCAGAAAACACCCAACATTGCCAATGGCAGAAAAATAAATCTAGCATTATTGGGTTAATATTGGATGTCACTGACTGCTTGCATTTTTATTTTCTAGTAGAGATGCTATGAAAACAGACTTATATTTTTTCTGAAACCAGACTAAACACTAACATGATTATCATCCCAGACTGGGCCTTGCATGTCCCCAGAACACACTTAGAGGCACAGTTATACTAACACATATACAAAATCAAAGAAGACCATGACATCTGAATATGCCACTCTCTATAGAGACCAATAAGAATTCAGCTCACACTTGCCACTTAATATTGTGGGGTACAGTTGAGTCTTGTTTACATCTTATAACCATCTTACATTTAACAGTAGAAATGTAAACATTCCCAAAATGCATTTAACCTCATTAAATCTGTATCAATGTATGCCCTAATTAAAAACATATATAAGGTGCCCCCAGAATGTTGTAATTTAATTTCTCTGTCCAACGCTTCTGCATACAGATGGGCTACACTCTTTCTGATATCTATAACATTCAATGTATTTCTTAATGTGATTTAACCGTTGCTTTGTGTTGTTGACAAAACACAAGCAGCTATTCTTTCTTTTCTAAGTGTATTTGAAAAAAGAATGGGTTTTTTTTACAAAAAAAGGCTCTCGAGAATTTCTTGCATTTTGAGAAAACGTGTTAATTCTAGAATTGAGGGCCCAGGAGGAAAGCTCATTGCTTATTTTACAATTTGAACAACAGAAATAGCCAAACATGTCAATGCTGATTACGGCTGACATGATGCCAGGCGTAAACAAAATGATGCTCATCACAGAGATATATGAACTGAAGCGTGTGTGTGAGTGTGTACCAGGCTGCAACCCTGAATCTCATTCTGGAATTAACTTTCTGAAGATGAAATTGTGCACTCTCTACACAATGTAGAGAGTGGGAGTTTTCCCATGCTCCCCTGCAGGAAGAACTGTAAGTCCCCCCTCATCCTTATTCATGTTTAGTACAATACCTCCACAAACTGTGAAACTCCCCAGCCGCTGTGTGTGTTGTTGAGAGACAATTAATTCTCTACTTGTTCAACTTCTCATGAACTCCACCTCAGAGTGCTGATGGTAAGAAGATGTAGAATATATTACAGTTAATGCTCAAGCTAAATATACTGCAATATGGAATGTAGAGAAAGCTATTTTTGAGATGTGGGATCCACTTTAGTCAGATCAGAATGGAAACTACCCTTATTCTTACATTTGCTTTTGTGTGCATTCAATCTTTATCTGATATGTGAATATGCTGAATCCAAAATAAGGTATTTAAATATTGTCATGACAAGTCAATTTTGGACATGTGAATACAACTTATACAATTGATAATACTTGATTTTTTATTTAAACAATTGGAAGTCCAGACTCCTCTTAACTTATTTATCAGCAAGCTAGTTACGTTAGTCAATTGTCCCGTTATAGGCAAGATTACAGTGATATGTAATAGTATGTATAGTATCATATTTGTGTGTATTCTAACATTTCTGAATATTTCCTATTAGGTATTAAAACCTGTGTCTGAAAGTACACACTTAATGATTTTACAATTGTAAAGTGGCATAATCAAATGTACTATTGTGATATTACATCACAATAATAGACATTATTTCTCCCTGTGTGGCTCTATAGAATTACAGGTACTTGAACTCTTGCAGTTAGGAGGCTGACGGGGAAAGAAAAAGCAACAATGTGCATACACCAGAAAATGGGTAAGTGGAGGCAGTGGGATAGAGAGAAAATAAAAACCTGACCTGTCTCTGTGAAAAGAGACCCTTTTTGTATCCATAGTAGGCAGTAGGGGTTTCTGAAGGTGCCATCAAGTGATGCTATATCACTATTCTTAAAATACATATTAAGTTATCATATATTAAAATATTGTGCATAGTAAAGTGATTTTAGATTAAATCTGTGAATTACCAGGAAACCAATCTTCAATGTGATATACCAACCATTGTCAATTTCATTTAGACCAGAGGTCGCGTTAACTGAATATTTTCCGTATATGACGGATTTCTTTTAACAATGACGGAAAAATCTGAAAGCAGTCTGTCATTTTGATGGATTAGAACAAACTCTGAACAGCACCAAAGCTTCCCCGCAGCGAGGCTCCGGTGTTATGCATGCCCGCAAAAAAGGAAATTATATCGTTTCCAAACCTAACTTTGCCGTACAAATCATTGAAATGTCTGTGAGTTTTTGCCTTACGCTGTGTCACGCCCGTTGACAGTTCACGAGCGTGCTCTCTCTCCCTCCCCCCCACGGTCAGAGTTGTGTACAGACCGGCGGGTATTAATGGATTTTGACGGAAATTTTACGATCCTGTCCGTTAAAATGACGGGCATCGAAAAAGTCTAGTGCCACCTCTGATTTAGACAGATAGTTACAGCGCTCTTTAAAGTGGATTAAAGTTATGGCTTCACCCAATAAAAAAATGTAGCCTTTGCTGTATGATAGAGTGACCTGGCTCAGATCCTAAAAAGTTTAATGTTATATTTCATTAAAGTGTAATAGTATTTTACGACTTAAGGCTAACCGGAGGTACAACTGTAGCAAAGCCTTTCATTATATTATGAATTATGTGCGGTAAAATATTATGTGTTCATCGATTTTCTTTTTCTTTTTGAAGAAAGTCCTTTCTGTTGACTGTGTGGTGAGAAATCAACAAAACAAAAATCCTGTGGTAAAATCCCAACAAGTGTCTCTGCCTCCAAGACTTTAGCAATGATTGGCAGACCTCCCTCCCCCACACACACACACACACACACATCAGTGTTATGATTGCTCACTGAAGTTGGGGCTGTCACACGGCAACAGGATGGCTCGGTATGAGAGTGACTTGTGACTGACACGGCAGCAGGGGACGTGTCAGGGTAACACCAGAAAAAGGAAGCGTAGGTGGGTTCAACCAATAAGACACAAACAGGGATACAATGCCACTGAGCACCATTTGTCTTTATGGCACATGGAGATGTCAATCTGTGGCATATGTCAGCTGCACAGACAACACTTGTGACTGTCTTAAAACAATAAATGCTTCTTGTTGACTGTAATATGACATTGAAATGAGGAACAACATTTATAATGCTTCATGCCATAGGTAGAAGAAGTACCTGGAGCTTTTACTTAAGTACAAGTAGCAATACTAAATGGTGATATTACAGCAAATTGTGATGACAAGTATTAGCATCAAAATATACACAAGTAACAAAACTGGAAGTACCCATTATGGCCCAATTACGAGTTATAAATACTTAAATACTTTACTTCGATTTTTGATACATTTATGTGTCTTTTAAAGCCGGTAAAGGTGGAGCTAATTTGAATAACATTATAGGCTGCTGAATGTTTTAAACTACAACAATATCTCAAAGTATATTTATTGGTTGATTTACATTGTGTATTAGCAAATAATCAAAATCTGTTAGTAACAACTGACTAAAGTTGTCGAATAAATGTTTTGGAGTAGACTGTTTTGGTTTTCAAATATGGTTTATGACACACTATAAAATGCTTTCATTTAGCCTCTTATAATTGCTTTCAAAAGTTTCAATGTGTTTTTCCGGATCTAAAGTAAAAGTAGATTGATTAAGCTTTGTTTGTTTTGTATTCTTACTATGCATACTATGTGAAATATCAAATACATATTCACAATGACCACAGCTTTGTCTTTCCTGATGGAAGTCCAAATGACAGGTGGTACATGGTTCAGATTGCTAAAGCAACAGCATCTACTTACGATGCTCAGAACGATTGAGAAAAGTTCAATTTCAAATAGTCAATTTGAACTTAAAAGTGGCTGAGCAATGACGCATGAATACACATGAGAAATGGGCCAACCTTAACATTACCAGCACAACATTGAAAAGGCAATCCAGTGATTTTGGAAACACTGCAATGTGTGTGTGTCTCTGTCTGTTTGTAGGTCATTTGAAGTGGAGAAAGGGAATCAGGCAAGTAATTTAAGCCACTTTCACAAACCACCCATCCCGAAACTACAGCTAAAAATAATTCAATCTGTGATTTGAACATCTTTTTACGAAAGAAGCACATAATCAATTTAAAAATCACTGTTCATTTCAAAAGAACTCACCTGTTGTTTTGCTAAAAAGAAAGGCACATTTTTAAACCTAGTCTGATTAGCTGATTAAAACCTGCTGAACAAACATCAAAGGGTTGAGATGTTTTTGCAAACCCTCCATTTTTCAACTATTTGTTCCATTTTAGATATGAAGCATGAAATACGTTTGAGTTTAGCCTTCAAAGAGATCACAGCTCTTGAGACATGTGAAAACTCCTGAAAACAAATTAGGTTGTGTAACCCCTGTTGACCAAGACCGGGAAGATCTTGTTCTTTAAATTGAAGTTAAATGCATCAATCTGGTGCACTTTGAGGGCAACATTGGGATACAGCTCTCAACACTGATATGAAACAGAACTGTATATATTTCAATAATCAAAAAGCCATTAGAATAACAAATATTTGATAAACTCCTCTCTCCTATCTTTATCTTACCTAGTCTGCATTCTTTCTTGTTATTTATGCATATTTTACTAATCACTCCCCTTTTAAACTGTGTTTTTTATTTTGCACTGACCTATAGTACACATTGGAATGATTTCTTAACTTATTTTTTACAACTATATTAAATAGATGAAAATATTTGTTTACATAGAAGCATGCTCGTGAACTGTTAGTTCTGTTAGTTCGCAGAAGCCTCGCAGCGGGGTTACTGCGGAGCGCGAGCGCAGAATTGCGCAGCATTTGCGCATGACTGATGTGCAACAACATGTGACTCCTCTGTTTCTCGTAAGGTCTCCCTTTCTGTTGGTCGCTTGTTAGCAGACCCTTCGCGCGATAGCAGAGCGAACAGGTACAGGAGGCGTAGAGCGAGGGATCATTGTCCACTAGTGAATCGATCGTAGATGGCCTCGTGCTCGCGGACGGATACACAAATATACTTTGGTGGCCGTTAATATACCTAGGCGCCCACGTCCCCCCCGTCAGTCCGTGAGTCAAACCCCCCCCCCCCCCCCCAAAACGAAAGCTCTTCGGTTCTCCACGAATTACACAAGTCACCCAAATCAGCGTTAAAAAAGCGGGAGGCGCCGAAAAGCGACTAATTTGCATGCATGACCATCATCATGATCTCAATTAAACTTACACTTTTACCGCTAACAGTTAGCATTATTTCTGTGAACTCCGGTATCGGGAGCATGGGAAACTCACAGTTCTATTGCCTTGTTCCACATGATGACGTATCCAGACAGAATGAAGGACTCGATGTTGACGATGTGTGTGTTTCCGCGCTCTGTCCCCACGTACAGCCATTTACTCTGAAAGGGAAGGTGGCAAAACGTGATCCTAGAGAACAAGAGACAGAGAAGAGAGAGACTGGGCGTTAGAATATGAACAGTCACAAAGTGCTCCATGCATCAGTTTGTACAGTGTATTTTTTGCATTTTTGCAATATTTTTGCAATATTGTGCACACATTTTGTTCCAGAGAAACCAAGTACATTTTAAGATGCAAATAATTAGGATTAAGATAATGAAGTACACAACAATATGATGCAGTCAACTAAACATTGACAAGTACTTTTGTTAAAAATACATTAGTTTAGTTCTTAAAAACAAGCAAAGCATTTTGTTAGCATGACATCTTTTTTTGGCTATTTTAAATTGTTTTAGTTTTTGGCACAACCCAAACAAAGAAATCAAAATACAATGGTGTTAAGACAGTTATTCAATAAAGCAATTGTTGGACAACAAAGTAAATAAAATGGCATTCTAGCCATGTTTTCATCTACTGAGCAATGCCTTTGGCATTCTGCAACTTTTCATATGTAGAGTAGTGTACATGGCTCTTGGCAGCCTACCTAAGCCAGTGTTTAATGGTAATAACTGCCCTTTTCCACAGACGTCATACCATGACTCATTGACGGAACTTATAGCCTGACTCATTCTTCAATCAAGGTTTAATTTAGCACTCGGCAGGAATGTAGAAAGCTTTTTCACCGCCACAATGCAGCACATTACCTATAGATATTCCTGCCTACATGTGCTCCTCTTGCCCTTTATGGTGATGCTCCTGTTTCTCTGTTGTCAGACAACTTTTGAACTCAGCCTGTAAGCTCACTCCAAACCATTATAAATAGGTATTTCAAGGAGCCCTTCAGAACATGTGCCAGAAGCAGAAGCCTGAACTTGTTCTGTCTTCTGTTGCATTACACAGTGGCTTTTAGACATATGCACCTCAGGCTAAACTGATCCACCACTCCACGTCTCCTTTGTGCAGAGCTTTAAATTGTATAAATACCTCATTGTTATTCAGAGTTTATACATCATTTTGACCATAGATTTCAATTACGGAACATCTGTGATAATGCATTAAAATATATATAACAAAATATTGTATAAAATTGATACAATATCAAGTTAACGTTGTATCCACAGGGCTCAACGCTATCTTTTAAAAGTGGTTGCCAGGCTGGCAACCAGGCATCAGCCTTTGGTTGCCAAAACTGAAAATACGGTTGCCATTTTTAGTCACCTTATATTTTAAATAATTAAGATACTATACAGTTATACCTCAACTTAATAATGAACATGTGACACAGAAGAATGTTCAAATGCTTTACAATAAGTAATTAACACAACTATTTGAAACTTAAGTGGTAGTAAACTTGTCCACCCTCAATTGCTGGTATACAAAATACCAGTAGTGCAGCTGTTGTCATGTTCTTCACAGATCCCTCACAAATGAATTGAGCAAGTCACTAGTTTCGTCATCCATTGTCTCCCTTTCAAATGTGGGTTTTCTTGACCTTTGTGCTGATCCCCACCATAGATCCATTGGCCCTTCAGCATCGAAGTCTTGATTGGCCAGACTGATACATTTCTAATGTTAAATAAATGAAAACCATTCACAGTTAAAGGTGGGGTAGGTAAGTTTGAGAAACCGGATCGAGATACACTTTTTGTTATATTCCATGGAATGCACCAAGCCTGTTTTTCATGTTTCAGGCTCGAAAATGACATGCCCAAAACAAATGACTACAACTTAACTTCTAAAAGGGTTATATGAATAATTTCTTTTATCAAAGCAAGGTTACATCTGTGAGTTGGATGTAGAAGTGTCAGAATCAATATAAATGTTTTTTATTTTAAAGAAAATTCAGATTTTACATAGTAAAAAACTGTAAATTATAGTGTCCGTCCAAATATTATTTTTTAAAGATAGTGAAAACTACCCTTGGATGATGGGTTAGTAGACTAAAAGCTTTAGGAATCCAAAGTACAACATATAATAAGTACCCTGTATCAAGATTGATGCAAAACAAGTGACATTTGACCTTTTTAGAGAGGTTTAGCCAAAACCACCCCACCTCTGAGGTGATTTGGGTGAAAATGTTTTTTTTTTCCATATCTCTGGCCCCCCTTGCTCGATTTTGATGGTTGACACCTCTTTCTGACCGTTAGAGCCAATAGAATCGAATGGGGAGGCCCACACACACACTCATTGTGAAGAGAAAAGGTGGGGGCTGCGCGCATGTAAATGTAAAGCAGAGTGGAGCTACATTCTAGCTCTGGCATTTGGAAACTAAAAAGCAGTTTTATTGCTTATGGATTATCAGAAATCATTTCAAAGAGGACACAGATACATTGGATGAACCTATGGATTAACTGCAGCATCGTTTTTTTATCGTTTTAATGCCATTGAAGACCAGTTTTGACCAAGGTAAGCCATGTTAGCGTTTCTAGCTACCTAGCTCCACATGTTATGATGTACGCTTTCGTTTATAGCGTCGCAAATGTTTATCACTGAGTGTTGAGGTTTTTTACACAGATTCTGTGTCTCCAGGACACCAAAAACGAGTGGTTGGCTGTGCATCTAGGATAAGTAATAAGGGAGTTATTGTGAGTTTAAGTGCCGTTTTAGGTTACATTTTTTCGCTTGTGGCTAATTCAGAGGCTGAGTGCTAGCATTGTGGGGTTTTTTTGGAGAAAAAAAATTAAAAAGATCAGTTAGCTGAGTTTCTTCCCGTTACATGGATATAAAACATTCATAGTTTATTAAATATTAAGATCCCTTAGACGTTGTTTCCTGCAAATGACGCGTTTATCCGCCCGGTACCGGGCGGATGGTGCATAACAGGTTAACATCCTGATAGCAATGAATATCTTAACCTGTTACGCACGGCCCCCCCAGTACCGGGCGGATAAACGCGTAATTTGCAGGAAACAACGTCTAAGGAATCTTAATATTTAATAAAACTATGAATGTTTTATATCCATGTAACGGGAAGAAACTCAGCTAACTGATCTTTTTAATTTTTTTTCTCCAAAAAAACCCCACAATGCTAGCACTCAGCCTCTGAATTAGCCATGAACGAAAAAATGTAACCTAAAACGGCACTTAAACTCACAATAACTCCCTTATTACTTATCCTAGATGCACAGCTAACCACTCGTTTTTGGTGTCCTGGAGACACTGAATCTGTGTAAAAAACCTCAACACTCAGTGATAAACATTTGCGACGCTATAAACGAAAGCGTACATCATAACATGTGGAGCTAAGTAGCTAGAAACGCTAACATGGCTTACCTTGGTCAAAACTGGTCTTCAATGGCATTAAAACGATAAAAAAACGATGCTGCAGTTAATCCATAGGTTCATCCAATGTATCTGTGTCCTCTGTGAAATGATTTCTGATAATCCATAAGCAATAAAACTGCTTTTTAGTTTCCAAATGTCAGAGGGAGAGATCGGTCCACTTTGATGCAAAATTACATGCGCGCAGCCCCCACTTTTTCTCTTTACAATGATTGTGTATGTGGGCCTCCCCCTTCAATTCTATTGGCTCTAACGGTCAGAAAGAGGTGTCAACCATCAAAATCGAGCAAGGGGGGCCAGAGATATGAAATAAAAAACATTTTCACCCAAATCACCTCAGAGGTGGGGTGGTTTTGGCTAAACCTCTCTAAAAGGGTCAAATGTCACTTGTTTTGCATCAATCTTGATACAGGGTACTTATTATATGTTGTAATTTGGATTCCTAAAGCTTTTAGTCTACTAACCCATCATCCAAGGGTAGTTTTCACTATCTGTAAAAAATAATTTTTGGACGGACACTATAATTTACAGTTTTTTACTATGTAAAATCTGAATTTTCTTTAAAATAAAAAACATTTATATTGATTCTGACACTTCTACATCCAACTCACAGATGTAACCTTGCTTTGATAAAAGAAATTATTCATATAACCCTTTTAGAAGTTAGGTTGTAGTCATTTGTTTTGGGCATGTCATTTTCGAGCCTGAAACATGAAAAACAGGCTTGGTGCTTAACAGGTTAAGTGCTTTGACAAAAAATCCATAAAAAAATGTCATCTGTGGAAGCCGTAGTACTGTAAAAAGCACGACCAATCATTTTAGCCGGCCCGGCTAAAATAACTGGATGGCCGACCTGCCTGTCAGCCTTCCATCTGTGCACAAACTTATCTCGTGCCCTCATTGGTCATGTGCGCGTTCGTGTGTGTTGGAGGCGTAAGGATAAGGAAGTGGCAGATTTTCTCCGGTCGTGTATTTTCAAATTCTAGCGATCTCGAGCTGGTTTCTCCAAAATTACCTACCCCACCTTTAAGAATTAGATATTAATTATTAATGCTGTAAATTACCTGTAATATGTCTAACTATATTTAAAATGTGTTACCTTTTTATAGAAGTGATTATATTTGTATGCCAATATTTTCCAATGGTAAAGTTTCGTTTTGCACTTTTATTTTGGTAGTAATAAGATCGGGACTCTTATTTTGAAGGAACTTTTACCGGAAGGATGGACAACGGAGCAGAATGTACATACATATTTCGCCTCCCAAGACTTTACACATTTCCTCTTTGCTTTTCGTTCGGGTTCATCTTGCGCTGCAGTTGAATCACTTTGATCATTCGTTTGAGATGTTGACGGGTTGGCCAAACCTTTTACCCCACAGTCAAACAACTTAATTTGCTTCGCCATTTTTTGTAAAACAAACACACGGCGCACCGCGCACACGAGTAAACGTGCATCGCTTTCTGGCTCCGTAATCACACCAATGCACGTGCAACTTAAAGTGGACCTATCATGCTATATTTGAATAATATAGTGTAGGACCATACCTATATAAGGCATATTTATACTTTTTTTTTTTCAAAATACCAAACAGATCATGCATTTTAGCCATGCCTCATTTCGCTCAATTTGACAATTTCTAGCTCTGGGCAGATTCAGTGAGAACAGCACCATCTACTGGCCTGGCATATGTACTACAGCGTCTCCAGCGCTTTCGAACGGCAATGGCCGTGGCTGTCTCCTCCTGATT